GACAAATTCAAATATCTATCTTATATATATATATATATATATGAAAGATATAAAATTTTACTTCTTAGTTTATTGTTTTTAATAGTAAACAAGGATTATTATTACATACGTTTTTCTAAAACAAACTTTTTTGTCGCGGTCTAGACAATTAAGACTATATACTCTGTATGCGTTTTATAATAATTATTTAAATTAAGTAAAGAGATATTTACACATGAAAAATATAAAATTTTGTTTCTTAATTTCTTGTTTTAAAAAGTCAACATCAGTTATTATTATATACAAAATTTTAAATATATTATACTTTTTTAGTCTAGACAACTAAAACTCTTTACTTAATAGACGTTTCATAACAATTTACGAAACAAGCATATTGTTTTAAATTTCTAAGATATATTAAAAAGAATTATCTCATACTTATTTTAATTTTCTAATTTGTCTTTGATAATTAGATACTGCATATGCTTTTGATATTTGTTTTTTTTAATTACTTATTATTATTATTATTATGAGATGTGTTGTATTATTATTTAATTAAAACTATAAAATGAAATATTTATATGTAAAAGATATAAAAATATTTTTTCGTAATTTCTTGTTTTTAAAAGTGGGATCTCTTAATGTTATCACATTAATTTTTGGGTCTAGACAACAACTGAGCCTTTATAATCAATTTTTACAATGTTATTTAAAATTATGTAAATAAATATTTATACATGATTTTTTGAACATATCCTATCGTTTTTCAATATAGACAACTAAGATTCTTTAATTAGCTAGTGAGCGTTTTTTGTTGTTGTAAAGATTGGAAAGATTACAAAGATGGTTGCAATAAAGATTGAACATAAGTCATCATGCTTTTAACTATCCTAACCCCTCCTCACCCAACTACTAGGCTAACCCTAATTAGTGAGCGTTTCAAAACAATTTACAAAACAAACATATTTTTTTAAAATTTATAAGATTTACAATTTTCATGCATATCTTACATAAATTTGATTTTCTAGTTTGTCTTTAATAACTTAATGACATACATCTTTGATCTTTTTGTGTGTTTAATTATTGTTATTTTTTTAGATATGTTTATTATCATTGAAAACTATAAAATAAAACATTTATGTGAAAGATATAAGAAATTTTCTTCTTAATTTCTTGTTTTTTAAAATATGAACTCCAACCGTCATCACATGAATTTATATATATATATATATATATATATATATATATATATATATATATATTTATTATTTTTTGGTCTAGACAGCTAAGACTATATATTTAGTAAGCGTTTCATAAAGTTATTTAAAATTATGTAAAGAAATATTTATACATGAAAGATAAAATTCTTAATTTCTTATTTTGAAAAGACAACATTGATTATTATTACATACAATTTTTTTTAAATATACTCTATCATTTTTCAGTCTAGATAACTGACTTTTATTTATTATTATTTTTTTATCTAGTGAGTGTTTCATAATTATTTACAAAACAAACAGTTTTTTCAAAAAAAATTATAAGATTTATAATTTTCTTGTAAATCTCACCTAATTTTGATTTTTTAGTCTGTCTTTAATAATTTGACATCGCATATGCCTTTAATATCTTTGTGTGTGTTTAATTATTATTATTTAAAACTATAAAATGAAACATTATATGTGAAATATATAAAAAAAAATTCTTAATTTTTTGTTTTTAAAAGTGTGAACACCAAACATTATTACATACGAATTTTCAAACATATTCTTCTTGGTCTAGACAACTAAGGCGCACTATAATAAATAGGATTTTAAGCATGTTTAGGGTTTCATAATGTTATTTAAAACGTGTAAAGAAGTATTTATATGTGAAAGATAAAAAAAATAAAAATTGCTTCTTAATTTCTTGTTTTGAAAAGTCAATATTAGTTATTATTACATACAATTTTTTAAACATACTCTATCATTCGGTATAGACAACTAAAATTCTTTGCATAGTGAGCATTTCATAACAATTTAAGAAATAAGCATATTTTTCAAAAATTTATGAGATTTACAACTTTCTTCTATATCTCACCTAATTTTGATTTTCTAGTTTGTCTTTGATAATCTAATATGGTATATGCCTTTGATCTCTTTGCATGTGTTTAATTATTATTATTCTTTATGAGATGTATTTTGATTTATTATTTAAAATTATAAACGAAACATTATGTTAAATATATAACTTTTTTCTCTTGATTTCTTATTCTTAAAAGTCTCAACTCCAAACATTATTACATATGAATTTTCAAACATATTTTTTTTTTTACTATTTGATATAGACAACTAAGACTATAACAAATAGGTTTTCAAACATACTTTATCGTTTTTTGGTCTAGACAACTAAGACTTTATATTTAATAGATATTTCATAATGTTATTTACAATTATATAAAAAATATTTATACATGAAAGATAAAAAAATTGCTTCATAATTTATTGTTTTGAAAAGCCAAAATTAATTATTAATTATTATATATAAATACACTATATCATTTTCCAATCTAGACAACTAAGACTCTTAGCGAGCGTTTCATAACAATTTACGAGACAAGCATATTTTTAAATTTCTAAGATTTACAATTTTTTTTTTGTATTTCTGACCTTATTTCAATTTTCTAATTTATCTTTGATAGTCTGATATAACATATATCGTTGATTTCTTTATATGTGTTTAATTATTTACTTTTTTATGAGATGTGTTTGATTATTATTTAAAATTATAAAATTAAATATTTTATGTGAAATATATAATTTTTTTCTTAATTTTTTGTTTTTAAAAGTGTGAACACAGTGCATTATTATATATGAATTTTTAAACATATTATTTTTTGCTTTCTGATATAGACAAGTAAGACTATTGCAAATTTTCAAACACATGTTTTTCTGCTTTTTGTTCTAGACACTAAAACTCCAATATATATATATAAATTTATAAGATTTACATTTTTTTATCTCACCTAATTCTAGTCTTCGAGCGTGTCCTTGATAGGAATATCTTATGGTATATGTCTTTGGTTTTTTGTGTGTTTGATTATTACTTAAAACCATGTAAAAAAAATTATATACAAAAGATATAAAATTTTGGTTCTAAATTTCTTGCTTTGAAAATTTTGAACACTAATGATTATTAAATAAGAGTTTTAAACATATTCTTTATCACTTTCCAGTATATAAAATTAAGATCATTACAACAGGCTTATAACCATATCTTTTGTTGCTTTCCGTTTTAGACAACTAAGGTTCTATACTCTATACTTAGAGTTAATGGACGTTTCATAACACTTTCTTTCTCAATTAATAGTTTGTTTCTTAAAAGAACTAATAAAAAAGTTATTTTTAAAAATATTTTGAATAACAAACACTTAAAATGTATGATTACCCTAACAAAAGGTATTTTCATTTTTTTTTTAACTTTTTAGGGTAAAACAAACTAATTTCGATTTTTTTAACCTATGACTATGCCTTTCACTTTTTGGAATTTAAAAAATACTAAAGAGTTTTAGTTGAAAGAATTTAAAATTTGATAGCATTAATATTTTTGGTTTTTAAACGTTTAGCGTATTTTTAAATATGTTTGTTAATTGTTGAAAGTATTATTAAAATAATATTATAACATAACTTGACTTATTTTACGACACAAATGTATTTGTAAAATTTTCGGAATGATTTTCTCGTATTCTTTTTCTCATGATTTTTTAAACATTTTTTTATTCAAATCTTATTAACTATTAAAAAGATTATTAAAACATTATAACATTTACTTGACTAACTTATTTTACGATACAAGTGCGTTAGTTAAATCTGTAATTTTATGGTTTCTTTCACTCTCTCGTTTCATTTTTCTTATCAGACCTTTAATATATCCATTGTTTTTTTTTTTTTTTAATCTTATGTCGCCCTTGGATACTATATGACTCTATATTTGGATCATACTAGTATGGTTAAACTTCTTCCTTCCTTCCTTTTTTTTTTTTTGAAATCTATGAGTTTCTTTGGAATTATAAAATTTCTTCAGCATTTTAAGTAATCGATCGATATGATTAAAAATAATCATATTAATGCTGAATACTTTTAAAATTTTCATTAAATATGACTATTAAAAAAGGTTTATTAGAATAATGTTGTAATAAGTTATGTGATGATGTAAGATTAACGATTTTCTTTTACTTTTTCATTCAACGTTTTCTCATCTTTATTTGACCAAAATGTCGTCTCTTAGATCAAATGCCCTTATCTTTGTCCTTTTCCTTCCTCTACTATTATGACTTATTTATATCACACTAGTTGCTAACATTTTCTTTTTCATTTTTTTTTTGAAAACTAAGAGTTTGACTTTTTTGGAATTAAAAAAGTACACAGGCATTTCAATTTATACGAAAAATTTAAATAACTATGTTTAATGGATTTTTAATATGTATTGTTTTCATTTAGGTTAACTATTAAAAGTTCTTTTTTTTTTTAAAAAAAAATAGTGTTGCAACTCTATCTGACCAACTTATTTTATGAAATAAGTGTGATTGCTAAATTTGTAAGACTTACTGTGTTCTCTCTCTCGTTCATCTTTTAATCATCTTTGTTTGTTTGAGCCATTGTCTCTTAAATGATCTTGATCTTTGTCTTTTTCTTTTTTGTCCTTGACCACCATGATTTTACACTTAGATTATATCACACTAGCAGCAAAAATTCTTTTTTTTTCAAATTTTTTTCTTCTGTGAAACCTTAGTTTGACCTTTTCGAATTAAAAAATAAACGTGCATTCCAATTGGAAAAAAATATTATTGGAATTTAGAAATATATATTTTTCCTTTAATTTAACTACTAAAACGTTTTCTTAAATGGTTTTTTTAACACTATTTGACTAACTTATTTTTTGTGACAAGTGTGATTGCTAAATTTATAAGTAAACGGTTTTCTTTTCTCTCAAATATTCATGATCTTTACCTTTTTCTGCCCTTGACTACTATGATTCTATACTTAGAGCTCACTAGTGTGGCCGAAGTTCTTTCTCTTTCTGTTACCTTTTTGAATCTTATGAGTTGCTTTTTTTTTTTTTTTAATTATAAAAATACTTGAGCATTTTAATTGATACGATTGGAAAATAAATAACATTAATACTTAATATAGTTCATTTTTTTTCATTAATATGACTATTAAAAGGTTTATTAAAATAATGTTGTAACATGTTATATAGAGTTGCTAGTTGAAATTATAGAAACTTTTATCCTTTTTTTTTGGTACTAGTTGAAATTATAAAAAAAAATATTACCTTTTATTTTATTGAAACTTACGAATCGTTTTTTCGGATTCTTAACAATACCAAATTGTCTCAATTGAAATGATTAAAAAAATAATATTATGTTTTAAAAATATTTAATTTATTTTTGTTTAATATATATTAAATAATATTTTAATGTTACTTGACTAATTTACGAGACAGGTGTGTTTGCTAAATTTATAACATTTGCAATTTTCTTTTCATTTCTGTTTCAGAGATGTACTTTCCCTCAAATGCCCTTGCCCTGTTTGTCTGGCTTTGTTCTTGACCATTAGGTGGTATAGTTATTCATAGATCACTGGTGTGGTTGAACAAATAATCATTAGTTTTGACTTTTGGAAACCTATGAGCTTGACTTTTGGAATTTAAAAAATACTCAAGAATTTTCAAGTTTCATTAGTTTTTCTTTTAACAAATAATCATTCTTAGTTTACTAATACTTTTATAATAAATACTAAATAAGGGTATTTTATATTAAATATATTCTTATCTAAATTCTTTTTTTAATAGTTTTACAAGGTTTTTATACACAGATTAAAAAATATAATAATTTTATTTACTGTTTTTTATAAAATAATTTTGAAGTTTTTATTATATTTTTTTATTTTTTTATTTCACAATAAACGTATATTAATTGATATGTAAATTAATTAAATGTTAGTCGAGAAGAAATGGTATAATTGAAAAAAAAAAGTAGTACATATTTTCTTAAACTTTGAAAAAGACAAAAAATTCAGAAATGGCTCTTTTACAAAATAGATAGTTAAAAAAACAGGGAGAATAGTTTACAATATTAAATATTTATTAAAATGTGTACATTAACATAAAGCATCAGTATATATGAATTTTTGAATTTAATGGCATTACTACATGTATTATCCAATCATTACATATTTATATTTCAATCAGATCTTGTGATGTGTGTTGTGATAACAAGATTCACCATAAATGTTTCTATAAGTCGTTCATTTTTTTCTTTTCATTTCAATAAACTTTATAACCAGGCTTATGAATAAGAGTTAATCACTTATATACTATGAGTGTAAAGTTTTTTAACCGACAGTCAATCAGAGCTGTTAATAATATCTTTTTTATTTTAATTTAATTAAATAAACAGATGAAAAGATACTATTAACGACTTTGATTGACTGGGAGTGTAAAAAAATTTTATACTATACAGGTGATTAACTCTATGAATAAACTCATATAACAAATTCTTATTAAATAAATACTCAATTAAACTGGTTCTCTAAAAGTTCCCTGTCTTTTATAGATGAGAGAACTCCGTTGACAACTGCTTTCAAATTCTTATGCTTACTAATCTGTATGTTCTAAAATATTGTGTTTAATTGTCATGGTTGTATTATGTGAATCCTTACATAAAGTGATCTATTGCTTCCCCAAATTTGCTGCGGAATCATAAATTTTGCTACACTGAACATTTACTTGTGTACACGAATAATTGAAAGAAAAAAAAAAGGTTTTTTGTTTGCTTAATCTGCTTTTGTATACAAAACTCTTATTGTCCTATCGAATGGCTGGAACATGGAATAGGTTGCTGCATATACTCAGCATCAGCAAGACGGCCAAATGGAAATTCCTGTGTTTGATTTGCCTTCTAAGATCTTATGCAGGGTTATGTATGTTCACTTAAAGGTACAGTCATATTTCTACTCGGGTTAATGTCGTTATTAACATCAAGTGTTTAATGCAAATTGGAAATAATGTACTTATTTGGTTTTGTAGGCCGAACCTTTCACTGATGAGGTTTTTGCTCAAATTACATTAGCTCCGATGTGCAAGGTTGATTACTTTCTCTTCTAACATCTACCTTCATCTTCTTCCCTTGTTCCTTCTTAAAATTATGTGTGGGAGAAAGGGCACACCACTACTGTTACTTCCGTTTGTTTATTCTTGAAGAATAAAATAATATTGTACGACATGCAAACACGGATAATGTCTTAATAGAACTGAATCAACTGATTATTGCTTTGGATCTTTGCAGCAAGGTGACCTTCGTTTAGAGGAAGAGGGGAATGATGGCAGACCTAAAATCTACTCCTTTAGCAAGACACTCACTCCATCAGACACAAGCACACATGGTGGATTCTCCATTCCGAAGAGACACGCTGATGAATGCTTCCGTCCTCTGGTTGGAATCCTAATTATTTTTCATTTATTTATTTTTTTCTTTTTAAGAATTTGGCTTATTTCAGGTCTTTGATATTACTGATTACAGGACATGACTCATCAAACACCAGCACAGGAAATTGTTGCCAAGGACATGCACGGGTTTGAGTGGCATTTTCGTCACATATATCGTGGTAAGTTTAGATTACTTTTCGTTTTGTAAAAAATTCTGATTCAGTTGCAACAATGTAGAGAAACCACGGTGAATACCAAATTGAATAAATCTAAAACATCTTTTCCTTGCAAGAAATGCTAGTTTAGTCTCACAGTTTTTGAGTTGGATGTTTTTTCAAATGAAATCCAGGTCAGCCGAAACGACACTTGCTTACTAGCGGTTGGAGCACATTCGTGACATCAAAGAGACTTGTTCCTGGAGATTCATGCGTTTTCGTTAGGTGCTTCTTTCTACTTTTTCCTCCTCTCCAAATTCTAATTTTTGTTATTCCAAAGGAACTTTGGTTAGAAACTTAGAATTGCGACTTTTTTTTCTTCCTTCCCTTTAATGCATGAAGAGAAGTTAGTCATTGCCAGTATAGCTTTAAACTTCCATAAGGTAGATTATAGATTTTAAAGGAATAGTTGAGAGTAGTACTGGCCTGTGCTTTTGGCGATTAGTTAAAAAAATGTCATAAGAGGAGCTTTGTTATATTCTAAATGATTGAATTTATTAAAGGAATCCAATTCAGTAACCAAGATAGTACTTATGTCATTGCAGTGGGGAAAATGGAGGACATCGTGTTGGGATTCGTCGGGCAGTGAATCACAGCCATGCACCCCCATCTTCAACTCTGATATCGGGTCATAGCATGCAACTTGGAATTTTGACTAATGTTTCCCATGCTATTGCCACAGGAACAATTTTCACTGTCTATTACCACCCATGGTGAGTCCTTCAGGATTTATCAGATTGAAAATTCAAAAGAACATATCTACTTTTCCTGCATTGTAGATGTATATATATAAGCCGTTTGGCCATACGTTTGAATTGGAATGAGCTGTCTTTTACCCACATCTTTTGCAGGATGAATCCCTTTGAATTTGTTGTTCCTCTGAAACACTATTTGAACTCAACTGTGCCCAACTATTCAATTGGAACGAGAGTACAAAAGCATTATGAACTTGTTGAAGAGCCTTTCAGAAGGTAAGGATGTCAAAGTTTGGCTGAGTATGGATTGTTTATTTTGAAATGCATCTATCCCTAAGAAAAACCGTATTTGAAGCTGTTGATGATAAGTATAGTATCTACAAGAGAACTATTCGTAACCAGGTCTATTGCCTTTTTGTTTGAATAACCAGATATGCTGGTACGATAGTTGGTAGGGAGGATATCGATAGCATTAGGTGGCCTGGTTCTGAATGGAGATGTCTCAAGGTAATCAGATTCTTTCCAAGCCTTTAAATTTAGTTCTTTGAAGTTACAATACCTTTCTGTTTTATTTTACTTGATTCAATTAAATTTATATCTGTTCTTAGGTGCAATGGGATACCATACTAGATGCCTACAACCATCCTGAAAGGGTTTGTCCTTGGTGGATTGAGCCCTCGGGATCTGCCAAGGAAACGCATGTTCCTGTTCTCCCCTCCCCAAAAAGGGCACACATACTTAACCAGCGCCCTTTGCCTGGATTAAGTGGCTTTGCCATGGATGGTCAGTGCTTATACATTCATCTCTCTAATTTGAGTTAACTGTAAAATTCTCTTGATTTGTGGAAGCTGCGAGATTTTATGTTATAACTTTTCATGTTTAGAATGACATGTGATCTTTTCATTAAGCACTGTGAACTAGTTAAAACTCTTGTTATCAGGTGCTGTTCAGAATTCAGCCAAACCTGCATCTCAGGCTCAGAGAGTGGGTAGGGACTTGCAAGGTCAAGATTACAATGGCAGATGCTCTCCACAGCCTCTGCAAACACCACCATCAACTGATGGAATGCGCCCATCGAAGGTCTCAGCCAGTGGCTCTCGGTTTGGGAAAGAGAGTCAGAATCAGCTTCCCTATCTCATCCAAGACCCTCTTCGTAAATCTCTTGGGAGACCAAAGTCCTTTGCACATGAAGACTTGTCAAGTTCAAGTTTAAGCTCCATTGGTTCTGAATCGCTGGGATGGCCCTCTTCTGAATCTAGAAATGAAAATGAAGTTCCTTTTGACAAACTTGGTGGTTGTAGTAAGTACAAGCTTTTTGGGGTTAGCTTAATCGACCGTCCACCTGAGCTCCCTTCACGTCAATTTGACGTTTTCAACAAATTTTCAAGCCTCGTTACTAGTCCTCCAATGTCTGTTGCCTCAGGAAAAACATGCAACAAGTGTCGCTCTGTTAATAATCGAAGCTGCACAAAGGTACTTAGCATTTATTTTTTAACCGTTGGATTGACTTGGTTTTCTTCAGTTTCGTAGGAAGTTTCCCATTGGCCAATATTGTGCAATATTTTTATTGTTTCAGTGCTTATAACTAGAATATAGGTAGGATAGGGCGACACTAGGGCCATCTAGACTGGGAATAAAATTGGTCATCAACCTTTTGTTTTTAGGTGCTTGGGAAAGGATTTGGATACCTCGGTTTCACTTGATAGCCATCTGTAGAGAATAGACATAGTGACCTTAGCTACATGGACACGATTTAGTCATGTGGAAAATTTCACCAGGTAGGATCCAAATCTCTAAGAAAGCTCCAGCTGGATAGAAAGGGTGTACTAAATTTTAGGCATTCTATACCCTTCTTGCTTGACTGTCTAAGCATTTTGGTGAGAGGTCAGGATTTGAACCCTCGAGATAAATTGTGATATGCATAATATGAATAATTCTAAATCGTTTCATGAGAACCGCACTACCTTGGGAGATACATTATATAAATAACATTGGTGCTTATCATGCTTCCTTCTGCACCATCCTACTTCTTTTACTGAATGCGATTTATATTTTTAAGACATTAAATATATTTACTTTTCTTTATAAAGTAGTAAGAAGATTTATAGGAGTATTTATAGGAGGATATAGCAGGTAGCTGAAACATTTTTGGCTTTTTCGCATTCACAGACATCTGAGCAAAGGCTAACTATTTCAGGTGCTTAAGCTGGGAACTGCTCTTGGAAGAGCAGTTGACCTCACTCGTTTTCTTGGATATGATGAACTCGTTGCTGAACTTGACTCGATGTTTGATTTCGGAGGAAGCTTGATCAATGGAAGGAGTGGATGGCATGTGACCTGCATAGATGATGATGGAGACATGATGCTCTTAGGGGATTACCCATGGCAGTTAAGTGTTTAACAGTACCATATTAAAACAAGATGATATAGGGTTAGCTTTGTTATTACTTTTCTGCCTGTGTTTCTACTTGTTCCAAATAACAACTGTGATATTTTTTTAACTGAGCATTAGAGTCTTAAAGATTCCTCGTTTATTTTATATCATTAAAAATTGCTTTCTTTATGTACACAAAAAGATACCCGAAAATTCAGCTGTTTTCTATTTAAATTTTACCATCATTTTTTAAGGGAACATACTTGGTAAAAAGCTAATTTTATATGACATGAGACGAACAAATTTGCATCATACAATTATAAATGCATTGTCAAGATTAATTATTTTTTTTAAACTCACGTGATTATTTTTTTTTTTTTGACAGAAAACTCACGTGATTATTTAAGAAGTGTTATGTATTTTAAAGTTAGTTTTTCATGATATAATTTAATAGTTAATGTTTATTTCTTTTACTCTCATAAAAATATCTTCTCATTCGATACTTCTCCTTTTAAGTAACATTCATATTTCTTTTTCCTTTCCAATAACAAGTAATTTCAATAGTTTTAACCAAAAATACCAGCTCTGGTTGGAAATTTTCATTTACCATTAAAACATTGACCGACTCTGTTCAGGTAAATTACTGTTTTTTCTTTTTCTTTTTCTCTTTCTTTTTTGTTGCTAACTTAGAATTGTACCATCAAAATATGCAGGGATTTCCTGGGTATGGTGCAAAAGATGATCATATGCCCAAAGGATGGTGTTAACAATTTCAATCCAAGCACCTCAGCAGATCCTCCAACCCTTTAGGCATCTGTCTGATCTCTCTTTCTGCACCACTGCATGCATACACAGCTTGCAGGACTTGTGCATCGTTATCTATTTTCTCCATGCAACCGACGCCTTTGGTCTTTATGCCATACTGTGTCGTTTCTAGTTCCAATACATTTTTTTTCTTTCTAAACAATCTCGGAGATCCGCAATATCATAAGTTTATGTGGATGCTGGCTTTATAGGAATATAGCAATCATAGAGAAAATTACAGGGTGAAAAAACAAACTGTTTTTGTTGTTTTAAGAACCTGTTCTTCATGATACTTATGGAAAATACTCATGAGTCATGACTCATGATTGTGATATAATATTGATAATAATACATGGCTATTCGGTCTTTCTGAGTGGGCGTGTGAAATCTGATATCATTCCTACAGCTCTCTGGTTATGTTGCTTGTTTTTATCAGCCAAAATTATCAGAACTGCCTAGGTTTTCAAAATTGAAACAATTTTTGTTTGATCAGATGATCATAAATTGGAATGACAAAATTCCAAATGCATGTTTTTTACTTGTCACTCTATCATAGTTATAGTAAACGATTTTAATTTTTAAACGTCTATATATCTAATGGTACTCAAATTCTTATTATACTGAAATACTCATCAAATCATTCACTAATAACTTAGTACAAAAAAGTTCTTACAAGTTGGAAAGAAATACACTGGCCTTGCGCCAGGTGGGCCAAGGCCTCATCCAAAAGGTTAAAAGTTTCTTAATGAATGGTCAATATTGTGTGTCTGTGTTTTTTTTTTTTGGTGTGTGTAGAGAAAACGAGACGAGACAACAATGTCCACGATGACAACCTTGATTCTAAACCTGGGTCAGCACATGACCGTGTCTCCGAGCTTCACTCGAATAGTCGCATTCGCACCATCCTCAATCACTGTAACTCTGACTCTCCAACATGTTTCTTCTTCTTCTTCTTCAGTAATTCTATGCGATTCTCATTCCCATTCGCCCACACGAGTCAGGTCCTATTCCCACCCGTTCCCAGAATTCAATGACCAAGTTGAAGACCTTAGGGTCCCTGACACTTGGTCAGACCCAACCATGGCCTTGCAGGTACACCTTCTTTTGTTGCTTTCAATCCAAAATCGGTATCAGTTTTAATTTATTGGAAATTTTAGGGTCCAAGTGGTTGATGAAAAATTATTGCATGTGTTTTGTTATATTCACTTATCAGGAATCGGAGTGGCTTAGGGTTACTTTACACAAATGGTTGGATGATGAGTACTGTCCAGAAGAAACGAATGTGGAAATAAGCAGAATTGCTGCAAACTCGTACTACAATTCATTGCTACAGAAGCAAACAGACCTGGGTGAGATTCTGTTGAAGATGGCCCGTGAGTTGGAGTCTATTAATTACAAAGAGAGTTTCCATGGGGCTTTCTCATCAGCAAATGCTGCTATTGACCTCATTGCACAACGGATAGAACAGTTCTGCCAGTCAATTTGAATTTGAATGCAATGATTTGTTTGCTTGATTTGTTTCACAACTATTGAATAATACAATCTTGTTTCTTTCTCGCCTTCTTAACTTCAATCCTAGGGAAATGTTCTAGTGTAGGCCATTTTATGGAACTTTGTGATCTGAGATCTATGGTGTTTATTTCTGAGCTTGCTGAAAATGAAATGAATCTTACAAAGCAGTGTGTTCATGTTATACACTGAATTAAGTTGGTATGGATCGAGATAGGGTTCCTTCAAACTCTCGAGTCTATTCAAGAACTAGCTCTCAACAAATCAACCAAAATTGTTCTCGCAAATAATTTTGAAGGGAGAAAAACGAGAAAGTCATACAAGCCCTAAGTGGTACTTTTTATGAATGAATCTGCAAGGCAAAATTGGCAAAAATAATGTTTATGGGTAGTAACTGAATTTTATGCCGTGAAATTTTTGTCCACATATTTTATCAAGGTAGGTTAGTCTCGGAGAAGAAGGTGATGTATTGATTTGTAGAGACATCAGTACCACTCCGGCAATGAGTATGCAGAGGGCCCTATCACTATCTCTTAAACCAACAATTCTCCTTATAGCATGGGAACTATAGTTTTTTAAGCAATGGGAACCAAAGTTTTTTTGCATAGTTTTTCATACAAACTCGAGTGAATTTTATGAGGTATAAATCAAAATGTTAGTTTCAATCATTTGACAGATTCCAGGCTGATTGAAGTTATGTTTAAGTATCTTCTAAAGTGAGTTTCCCTTTGTCAAGTAGTCCATTGGTGCTGTAAATGCTATCATATTAATGGCAAGCTTATTGGTTATATTACCGATTGTAAGGTAGGTTCAATCACATCGGCGGAGGATGCAATAGGATAGAGAATCAAAACTTTTATCAAATTTTCAAAGTTGACATCGCGCTTCTCGTTATATGCTAAAAATCTAAAGGTATATGTTCGGTTGGGGTGGAACCAAATTCAACTAAAAGTCCCATTACAACGATTCCTTTTCTCTCATTCCTTTTGAATAAAAGTACAGAACGATCATATTCCTTATGCTATCATGCATATTTAGGGTGCTTGAAGCATATGATCTGGCTCTCGATGCTTGCATGGGTATCCCAAGTCCCAACATTTTGGGGTCGCCACTCAAACGCTATGCTTATGCTATCATGTATTTAGAAGAGTACTGCAAGAAGTGGAATTGACTCACTCTTACAGAGTTATTTGAAAATTGTGATTGAAAGGCGTTTTTCATTATTGTTATCTTTATCTAAATATAAATTGTACAAACTTCTACTGCACTTGATCTGGTGCAGGAAAGTCCAAATTCTTAAAAGATGTGAACCCTCCATCCACAATCAAATTGTGCCCATTAACATACTTGGCATTATCAGATGCAAGAAAAAGTGCAGCATTAGCAACATCATTGGGTTCACAGTTCACTCCCTTTAGGACACCAGCATTGTGAACAATCTCTACATGTCTCTGAGCATCAACATGAGGATATATCTGACTCATTTCTCCCATTACAAAAGGAGTGGGGATGGCAAAAGGTGATATGCAATTGACTCTGATTCCATACCCACAAAGCTCTGAAGCTAGAGATTTAACAATGCCTACAACTGCAAACTTGGATATTGAGTAAGTGTGCTGGGCCGCCCCTCCCATCACTCCTGTGACACTTGCTGTGCAGAGAATGGACCCGCTTCCACGTGGAATCATTACACGTGCTGCATGCTTGATGCCTGCCACAACCCCACGAACATTTATGTCCATGACTCTGTCAAACACTGCCAGGTCCAAGTCAACAATGCTTTGAGGACTTCTGCAGGCTATCCCTGCATTGTTGTACATGATATCAAGTTGGTTGTATTTAGAGATGGCAAAATCAACAGCATTCGAAATGTCTGTCTCTTGAGTGACATCACATGCTATGAAAGTAGCATTAGGTCCCAGTTCTTTAGCAGTCTCTTGGCCAAGTTGTTGTTGAATATCAGCAATAATAACCTTGGCCCCGTTATTGATGAATTTGGTAGCTATGGCCTTTCCTATTCCACTAGCTGCTCCTGTGATCAGTGCAACCTTGTCTTGTAGCTTCCTGAACCACCCATCGAACAATTATGTTATATCCTCCTATAAAACTTTCTAGTACTTTATGAAGAATGTGTTAATAAAAAAGTAAATACATTCTTTATCTTGTAAGTACGTAGATTAGTAGGAGCATTTAGAATTATTCCGATATCAGATGTGAATTAAAGCCGCAAAGTTAGAAGATCCTTTTGATGACATTTTAGTATGCTGAGATTCTAATAAATATTTCGTGACATCAGAAATTCAGGATTAAATGGTAGTGGAGTAACACTATCAAGTTCTTATTCAAGAACAAAGGAAAAAACTCTTACAAAGAGAAATTTAAAATATGATTAATATTTAAATCTGATTTGGATGCTTACAAGATGTTCCTATTTATAGGCTAAGATAGACAATCTATCACTTACATGTAGTAACTTTCTACTAAGTTTCATTAGACATTAAAATCCCACTAATTCCCACTAACATTTATTTTCCACTACGAAGCCTAATGACACTCACAACTAACCTAGACAATATGAAAAATCATTTGAACTTATTTAATTAAAATAAAATACAAAAATTACAATAAAAATAAGAAAATAGACTTAAATAATTTTTAAGTCCAAAAGCTTAGTAAACCATCCAAATGAAATCCAACCCACTTAAACATCTCTAGTAATTGGTGTTGGGTTGATTGGGTTCTTTAATTTATTAATTTTAACTCTTTTTTATCCTCTTCTAGGGTCTTCCATCAATTGAAAATCATATTTTAAAATATTGGACCTTGACAGATTCCTATAAGAAAGTATATTAGATGCGAGGACAAAGTGTTGAAGAAATAGTAAAGTAGATAATTTACTTCATATTATGAAAGAAACTATAGTACTATGCCAACTAAAATGCAATGTCTCAATTACTACTATTTAAAAGACTCAAAACAGCTAGCAGGTTGTGTGGTAATGAAGTGAGTATCTTCATTTAAGACTGCTATGCATTTATTAAATTAATTCATCATAAACACACCAAAAGCTTTCAAATGAAATTTCTACTGGATGTAAAGGAGATGTTAAAGTACACTTATACATGAGTGGTAACAGTGAAATTGAAAGGACTATAAATTAGAAACTTGTGAAGCATGCTTGGTGGATTCGTGCCTAGATACATTATGAAAATTCATTCTTCCCCTCGTTTGCTTGTTTGTGAAAAAAAAAAAAAAATCCCGTAATCAACCATAATGGTTTTAAACTTTTAATTAGGCTGATCAGAATAAATAAAGGTTTGTCATCACATGCATAAATAAGAAAAGGAAATGTAAACCAAAGACAAGAGAAACTGATGGTTAACTTTGTCATACCCTCCAGTCTGAGTAACCTGTGGAATAGGAAATGTTAACTTTGTCATACCCTCCAGTTTGTATGCACAATAAACCCTAAACCCTAAAGGCAAACAAAGCCCTTGAATAGGAAATGTTGCAACTGTTTCTAACAATTACCAGAAACTAAGTAAGCTATGGAAGTATTCATAATTCGAAAATAAGCAAAGAACTGAAAGGAAAATCCACATGCAGGATCAACACTACACACAATCCTTCCACCCAACAAAGTGGACAAGTAAATAAAATCCGTAGCCACTTTCTTAATCCAAAGTATTTAATTTCCATTGACAGAAAGCTGATTCAAAAGATTCAACAGTAGACTGAGTGGAAACTCCAAGCAGAACATCTTATACTTAATTTTTTAATCATCAAACTGAAAACATAGCTAAAAGGGAATAATTAAAACACAAACAAATGAAGGCAGGAAGTGTGAGACCAACCTCAAACCAATATTTAACATGATTTTCTGCGGATATATAACTCAGAAGCAAACACACTCTGGAGGGTATCGAAGTTGTCTATTTGAGGCTATGATGAAATTTAGCTTTGGATATATCCCTGTTGCTGCTCGACTAAACACAAGATAGAGAGAGAATGTTATCTTATAAAATGCTGAAGGGTAATTTGGTCAATATGACTAAACAATGTGTATGTAATAATATGCATGCCCTACAAAGAATAATTTTGTTGAACCTTTCTCAGCAAGAATGCATTGCATCGGAGATTGTGGGAACTTAACAGTGCATGACGGATCGAAATATGAATCCGAATATCTTGTTAAATATTAACACTAGTACCATCCATGTAAATACGCTGGTTTAAACACAAAACATAAGCAACACTAAATTTTTAACCGCTATTTAAAATTGAAGTGTCATACATGTAAACAATTACGCTTATGTTGGCCACTAGTTGGTAGAATTATTCCCAAATGCTGCTGCAACAAGGTTTGCACTTTGATCATTACCGTAAAACTCTTTTTGACTATTGTAATTGTTCGAATCTAAAGGACAATTAAGATTTGTTTAAGATGAGTCTCCAAAATCAAAACATTCAAAAGTGTAATATCTCCTCTTAAGTCTAGGATTTGAGATTTTATAGTTATTTATCCGTGAGTCTTGTGGGCCCCGAAAATATCATAATTTTCTAAAGTAATTTTAATACTGTAATCTTTGTTATTAAAGATAAGATTTTATTTCATATACAACCCTCTATAATGGATTTATTCTGATATCCTTTTAAGGAAGTAGTTTGCATTAGGAAGTCAGCCTACTCCCAATCTTTTGGTATTCCCTCTCGGCTCAGTCTTCAGCATGTTCGATCAAAGATCTCGACTAAGGTCGATCAACAAAATCATCTCGAAATTTATCCGGAATGGTACACTTACCTACCAACCCCAAGCTAATAAGGCAAAAGGGTTTGATGAAATTGCCATATATCCCTTCCTAAAAACATCATTCTATTATTGTTATTTCAGTTTAGATACTAACCATATTTGATTTAAAACACTTACATTGCCTCAATAATCTTACAAACATAACACTATAATGTCGATATAACAAATCATAAGAAAACTTGGCCAAATTGTCGGACTCGTGTCTTTCATTTTCTCATTTATAAAGAACAAATATTTTGGCTAAGTTATGGCCCATGTTGAAAGTGTGTACAACCATATCTTCTAAAAACCTCTTGATAATATGCATATGACCATATCAGCATAATGTTGACATTGTAGCCAAGAATAATGGAGCAATTTAGAATTGAGAATGGATGAATTATTTACTTGTCCAATCAAATATTTATCGATCAACCATGAGTTTGGTCTTCGGGTTATTTATATTCGTCCATTCGAATATTTACCAATTAATCATGAGTTTGGTCTTCGAATTATTTATACTTGCCCAGTCAAATTTTTACCAATCAATCACGAGTTTGGTCTTTGAGTTGTTTATAGTTGTATAGTCATATTTTTATCGATCAATCATGATTTTGGTCTTCAAGATGTTTATATTTGTCTAGTTGGATCTTTACTGATCAATCATGAGTTTATCTTCGAGTTATTTATATTCACCTAGTTGGATATTTACTGATCAATCACGAGTTTGTCTTTGAGTTATTTATACTCGCCCAATCATATTTTTACTAATCAATCACGAGTTTGTCTTCGAGTTATTTATACTCGCCCAGTCAAATATTTACGGATCAATCACGAGTTTTGTCTTCAAGTTATTTATAGTCGCTTAGTCAGATATTTACTGATCAATCACGAGTTTGATCTTTAAGTTATTTATATTCGTCCAGTCAAATTTTTACCAATCAATCACGAATTTGTCTTTAAGTTATTTATACTCGCCTAGTCAAATATTTGTCGATCAATCACGAATTTAGTATTCGAATTACTTTAGTCACCAAAAACATTATGCATTCAAAACATCAATTTACAAATATCATCATTGATCACAAAGAAAACAAGTGGAAATATCTGTATTTGCACTTTCTTCTCCACTTCAATCCAAAAGATTAAAAATACAACATTTGATGTTTGAATTAGGGATTAACAAAATTGCAAAGATGTTAAAAAAAAAAAAGTTGACATGCATGTTTTTATATCTAAATTTCAAAACCAAATTTAAAAGTGTCCGCATACAACCAACCGCTCGAAGTACGATTTCGTCATGTCACACAAACTTTCTCCCTCTGTCGTCATTTCGAGCAGCCTCGCTGCCACTCTCACAATGGCAACGTTGCTCATCGTCATCGTCAAGTGGACTCTACGACTATAACAGAATTCGGTCGTCGTTGTGGCCTCATGCCGTTAATTAAAGCCATCAACTATTGCATCATCGCTATTGCGTCCTATTGTTTATCGATCATCCCCTCAACATCTCCACCTTAATTAAATCATACGTATCAATTTATGTCTAGTAGTGGATATTAAACATACAAATAAATTTATGTCCAAGTGTTTGTATAATATATGAGAATTCAAATTCATTTTCAACAAATGACTAAAAGAAATGATTGTTGGAAAATTTGATACAAAATATTAATTGGATAATAAAGATGTAGAATTTAAAGCAAGTTCTTTTAGTGAAGTGTAGAAAAATTAAAATATGAAATCAAAATTTAAAGTAATTAATAAATATTATTACGATAATTTGTTATGGAAAAAAGTGAATAATGTAATTGTAATAACTTTAAAGAGGTCAATTTTGTATGCTTCTTAAAGAAATCATTTATCAATTTGGTTATTGATTTGTGAAAGATATTAGAGGCTTCTTTATCATAAAGAACAAAAGCATGTATTATTATTTACCGTGAGATTCATAACCCTCAAGATTTTAAAAGGTATATTAATAGAAAGAAATATATAAAATAATTTATTTAATGTGTATACAAATTAATATTATACTTTAGGATGAAAAGTGAAGTGAAGGACGTCTATGACATGAAATTTGAATTTACTGATAAATTTATTAATTATATAAATTAGAGGGATTGAAGCACTTTGTGCCTCTATAACTACTCACAAACATGATATTAGAAGATTGAAAGTAATTATTTAGGGAAGATATAAGAATTTTTTTTTATATTCGAAAGATATATTGATTAACTAAAAAGTGAAAACTAAAGATAATTACATAATTTAATATCTTTTTATAATAGGTATAGATTAGAGGGATTGAAGTACTTTGTATCTCTAATAATTATACATAGATAACATATTAAAAGATTGCGTATAGTTATTCAGAGAAAATATATTTTTATTTTATTTTTTATATTTGAAAAGTATAATGATCTACTAAAAAGTGGATATCAAAAACGATTATATGTCCCAATATCTCCTTTATAATATATATATAGATTTTATAATTTATTTAAGTTACATATATTATATGTATATATAATTTAAATAGATAAAAATATATAAGCTTAATGGTATTTTTGATCCCTCAAATATTACAATTGTGCAATTTTGATCCTCAAGACTTTAATTGGGTAACTTTAGTCCTTAAAGAATTACAATTGTGCAATTTTGGTCCTTTAATTTTTAATTGAACAATTTTAGTCCCTCAAATATCATAATTGTGTAATTTTAGTTCCTCAAATATCATAATTGTGGGAATTATTTCTATAGATCCCACTAATTATTTTTCTATTTTATTCAAATAATTAGAATCAGTATTTTCTATTTTGTTTTCAATTTAAGGACTAGTGTAGTTGTTTTCGAAGTGTTATTTGCATTAGATAAGTTATCAAAACTGACGTACAGAAGATAATTTAAAACTTCTTTAAGCACGAACACCCTTAAGGCTAACCATGCGTGTAGATACATCACCCTGGGGTCCCCTCAATGCTGAACCCCCTTGAGTCCTCCCTGAACCTCCATATGAACCATCTTGGTACCGTGCACTTTGATAACCAGCACCTGTTCTTCGATCCCTTGAATAGCCACTACCAGCTGCTTGGCCTAATGCCATTGGCCTTCCACCACCATACCCTGCCCGCCCACTGCTTTGCCTTGGCTGAGAATGGGACAGGTCTTGCCATCTACCACCTGAAGAGGCTGTTCCACTACCAGCAGCAGCAGCAGCATAGTCCTGGCCATCTCTCCGCCTTAGAGGCAAATCCAATCCACCACCACCTATCCTTGCCTCCGTTGCTCTTTCATTACTCTCAGCAAGGATAGATAATTTCTCTGTTAACTGGAATGCCAATGCCTGTAGCCTTGAGTATTCAACATCTTGGAAAATAATGCACCCAGATGGCTGGTCCCAGCTTGCATGAAGCTCCTCATTGATCATCATCCTACTGACAATGCTATGAGTGCGAGACACAGAGAGATCAAAAAATTTTGTGAGCTGATCCACGCTCAAGGATTCATAAGATGAAGAGAAGGTAAACAGGTATGTCCTCAATGCCTCCTCCTTGATTTTGTCCTTCAGCATTTCAAGCACAGTGTCTCGATTTCTCACAAATTTCCATACATCAAGAGACACAATAATGTCAAAAGCCTTCTGGAAGTCTCCCTTGATAAGAAACCTTGTGGCAGCCATAACATGATCTCTGACATTTTCTGGTGGACCAGTGAATGTTTGTTTATCACTTACCTCAAGCAAGCGGCGGAAAGTCTTACTGATGACCTTACGTTTTGCATCATGAATATTTGCTGCCATATTAGGAACTTCCAGCAGCATAGCAGATACAAGATGTACGGCCTCCAGGAGCTCAAGATTGATGTGCATATGATATGGCATCTGACGTCTTCTTTCCAACCTTTCCTGAAAGAGAATTGAAAAGAGTTGAATGTGCTGCAATGTAATTTTTATAATTATAAAACATGCAAAACCCTGATACTGATGATGGAAATGCATTACCAAACTCAAATGACTTGTTTCACCATACAATGAAAGTACAAAAAAATTACACAAATTTAGCAAGGCAAATCAGGCCAATACATAATGCAGTGTTGAAATTATTTCTGATGCTCCACAGGCATAAAATGTAACACAGTGGCACAGGCAGCTAGGAAAAGCAAGCAAATATAAATATATAAAATATTTAAATTTAAATTAGAATAATTAGAATGAGGACAAAAAGAGTAATTTAGTATATATTAATTAATAGCAGTGAAAAGGAAAAAAGAAATGAACAATTCCTTGTTCCTTGTATGTTCCACCTTCCTAGTTTTACATTATGTTCAGATAAGAATTGAAATAGAAAGGAAAAAAAAAGAATATATTATTTAGGCCAAAATAAAAAATGAAAGTGTAAAATTTGTCTTCACTTTTTAAAAAAAATAGAAGTGTGAAAAATAAATCAATTATATGAAAACATTTTCTTGACATAAACATTTTTAATATTCCTTTTTTATTTTGTTATAAAAATTTATTTAATAAAAAAAACTACTCCCTCCTTTATTACCCCACTTGAAGAGGGAATTATTTCTATAGATCCCACTAATTATTTTTCTATTTTATTCAAATAATTAGAATCAGTATTTTCTATTTTGTTTTCAATTTAAGGACTAGTGTAGTTGTTTTCGAAGTGTTATTTTATTTTCTATTTACAACTTGTAGCAGTCTTATTTCAGAAGTCTACCTTGTTGTCCGTTGCTTTTTTATTTTTTCTTGAATAGATAAATAATTATATTTTTTTTAAATATTGTATTTGTATATATATATATACTAAAATTATTAAATTTGTAATGAGAGAGATTAAAATTTCACAATTATGATATTTGAAGGATTAAAATTGTACAACTATGATATTTGAGAGACTAAAATTGTTTAATTAAAAATTAAAGGACCAAAATTGCACAATTATAATTCTTTAAGGACTAAAATTACCCAATTAAAACTTTAATACTTGAAGGATCAAAAATGCAATTAAGCTAAATATATATAATTATAATACTTAAAAATTAAAATTGTTTAATTAAAATTTTAGAAATCAAAATCATATAATTGTAATTATAAAAGAAATCAAAAACACAATTAACCATAAATAAAATTAAGAATTCTTCAAAATTATATAAGCTAAAATAATAATTTTTTTAAAATTATTTATTTTAAAACTAAAAAAAAATATTTTAGACAGACTATTTTTACTCTCCTCGAAAATACACTCCTTTCGAAATATACAAATAGTATTTCATAAATAATAAATATAAAATAAAAAAAAAAATAAAAAAATAAAAAGTAAAACGCAAAGTCGTTTCCCTCCAAATTTATCGAACTGAAGATTCTCCTTCACTAGTATTTGGTTTGGCGTCGCGTTTTCTGAACTTCGCACTATTCTCTTTTAGCACTCTGATCGCTGCATTAGGGTTTTATTCAACTTCATTACTACCAAATTCATCATCCATCTTTTGGAACAAGATTTAAAAATTATTATAAAAAAAAAAACAGAGTTCCCATTCCAATGGTCGAGGGTTCTTCGCCTCACCCTCAAACTTCATCACCCCCGGGCGGTAATCCTTCATTTTTTCCTTGCTTTCTTATTATTTTGTTGTAAACTTAGTTTTTTGTTATTTCGATGATTTTGATCATTATTTGTACCATTGGTGAATGAAGAGAGAATAAAATACAAAATATCGAAGAGAACGAGTGGTTGTTCTTTGATCGTATTGAATTTAATGTTTAGGGTTCAATGATCATCTATATTAGGGCTGTATGTAAGTATGCACCAGGTTGAGTTGAAATATTTTTGCAGGAATAGAAAATGTAAGTAAGTAACTAGGGTTCAGCATGTGGAAGATTATGGATTGAAATCATTGAATCATGAACTAGCTTAGACTGATGATAATGTTGTTTGGCTGCAATTAGGATATAAAGTTAAAGATGCAAATGAAGATGATCCGTTTAGGGACACTGCGCTCTTTGAGGATACCTTAGTGCTCAATAGTCCTTTCAGTGAAACAGAGGTTGAAAATCTCAATCTGGACACTGAGATTGTAGAAGATTCGGAACCTCCGGATGACATAACAACTGGTACAATGTACAAGTATGAACAAGAAGTAGTGCTTGATAGTGAGGATGAAGAAATGAATAATAGAGATACAGTAACTGTTGCCAAAGGATTTCTTGAAACTAGTCCAACAGTGAAAATTCCTTCAACCCTGTTCCAGAAGAGACGGTCCAAGCCAACTTCTAAGCAAGTAGATCCAAATGGCACCACTTTTGTGAAGTCTGCTGCTGGTACGTGACAACGTGTTTGCTATCTGCATTTTAATATTGGGTACCACGTTTCTGTCTTTGAAATAATTTTTGCTTATTTTTTTGTTGTTGTCTGGTATCTCTATAAGTTATGCTTGTTTGACTTACCATACACTGAAGTAATTGGTTATGGAGCATTTCATGAATGATTAACTTTTTAAAGATCATAATACGCTTGAAGGGCACAAAGGGGCTTTAGTTGATGCTGGCAACTTTGATGACCACAACCATTTATATCTACCTGCACCACTAAATTACGTTCACTCACCAGAGCCTGGGGATTCAACCCAAGATGCACTTGGCTTTGTGGATCAGTACTTGTCATCAAGTGACGTGGACTTGTTTCAAAGAATTCATTGTAGAAAGGCCACTAGGGATAAATCACCTCATGTCCTGAATGCAAGGGGACCACTAAATCTGGCTAAGAAAATTAAAGCTCGAACAAGTGAAGAAAAAGAACCTTTCAATTGGGTTGACAGTAGCCAAAATGACAAAAAAGCTGGCATGTCTGGTAAAAAAATTGAAGCATCTTCTAATTTTGGAAGATACAAACAGACATATACAAGACAGAAAAAGAGTGACCGTCTTCAGAGCCAAGAAAACTGTAGTACAAGCAATAGATGTGATGAGAAGTTGGGCCAAGGTCTGAGAATGGAAACTGAAAATAATAACTCTCTCAAGGAGTTGGATGTTCAGTCAAGTGCTATAAAAGAGAATGTTAATGTTTATTCTGGTGTAACACATATTGAAGACACGTCTGATATCGGTTTAGACACTCAAATAGCTGCTGAAGCTATGGAAGCCTTGGCCGTTGTTCCCCCTTCTGGCTGCTATTTCAATGATACTCATCAAACAGGTAATGCATTTGATGGCTATTTAAGTAATTTGACAGAGAATGAAGCTCATATGAATTTTTTTACATATAGACAGCATCCTGCTAGCACAATAAAATTAAATAGGAAAAATGCACCTTCATCTAGATTTAGTAACAGAACATCTAGCTCATCTTGCATGCACACTAACAAGCAGGAGCCAAATCCTGTCTCAGGGAAAACGAAAAAACTGATGAAAAGCAAGTCAACTGCCGAGGGACAGTTTGACAATAATACTAGTTCACCAATATGCAGTAGACATGTATCACTTGAAGAGGTTTGCCCACTGGGAGAGTATGTAAGTTTTCAATCTGCTGTAGTAGAACCCAAAAATTGGAATAACGAGAGCAGACAGACAAGAACCAAAAATCAATCAAGCCATCGCACAGTGAGGAACAATAATGTCAAGGAGAAGGGTACTATTAAACAGGAAAGGAAGGGGAATGGTTTAGTGGCTGATCCGATGAAGTTGGGTGATAGGACAAAGTGTCTTAATTTGCCTACCAATTCATGTGCAGTTGCTAGGAAAAGCAGGTTGAATCATCAGGCTCAAGTCAGTCCTCAATTATCTGTAACCACCAGTTTTTCAAGGACTAATTCTTGGGTTTATGCAAAAAGATCAAGGGGGAAAAGAAAGAGGTCTAATGTGTCAATCAATCTTGATGCACCTAAAGTTTCGTGTATTGATGAAAAAGAAAATAATGTCTTCTCTGCTAGAAGCCCAGAGGACCAAGCTGACATGGATAAATCAAGTTTTCCTCACGCCCATCCACTTTGCAATGCTTCATGTGTTGACAATGGCAGATGCTTGTTACAGGGTAACTTTGTTCACCCATGTTCAGCTGGTGATGCGATGAAGGTTGAAAACCTGCATGATACACATCCCTTGTTGCTGGAACATGTTGAAATATCATCAATCAAGAGTGTTGAACAATTGAGGTCAGAAAATCCAGCTACAGGTGCTGCAAGCAAAGGCGTAAACGTTTCAAATGCTAACCATACACACACCGAGCATCACAAAAAGCCATGTGACAAAACCCTGCCAAAGACTTCGGCTTTTAAAGAGCTTATTGGATTAAGAGCTCCTCAGTGCACATCAGATATGATGTGGAAAGATCTGAGACATCGAAGGGATATGACAGATGTTCGAGTGCTGTTTAGCCAACATTTGGATGAAAGTGTCATCAAGCAGCAGAAAAAGGTTAGTCAGTGATTTTATGTTAAAGATAGGAGATGCTAAATGTTACCATGACTGGCTCGTGACTTTGTTATTTTCCCTCCATGCAGATCTTGACACGTCTCAATATATCTGTTGCAGCAAGTTCAATGGAGGCCACACATTTCATAGCAGACAAATTTACACGCACAAAGAATATGTTGGAAACAATGGCTCTTGGGAAATTAGTTGTGACACCGTTATGGCTTGAGAGTTGTGGACAAGTCAACTGTTTTATTGATGAGAAAAATTACATTCTGAGGGATATGAAAAAGGAAAAGGAAATAGGCTTTAGCATGCCTGTTTCTCTTGCTAGAGCAAGACAGAAGCCACTCCTAAAGGTATTTGTATAAACTTTTGTTAGTTATGCCAAATTCTTATGCATTCATCGTATTTACCTCAAAATCTGGTTGCTTGCCTATACAGGGTAAAAAGGTCTACATCACGCCACATAGTAAACCTGATAAGGATGTGATTGCAAGTTTGGTCACAGCTGTTCATGGCCAGGTATGCATGTTCACCTATGCATGCCACTCCACAACTGCAGCTGACCTGTGGTTGCAATATTAGACATGTTTGGGCCATTAATATATTGTGATCCTCAGCTCGGCCATGTTTTCATAAATTAGTTCATTTATAATTGTCTTTTCACTTCAGGTAGTAGATGAAAGTAAGGCATGTGCAGACATGAATGATAATATCTTAGATGATCTATTGATTCTTTCTTGTGAAGACGACTATGCAGTATGCCACCATTTCCTTAAGAGAGGTGTTGAACTTTACTATCATCTTCGTGATAAATAATGCATTTATGATTCATTGTATATTCATGTTTTATAACTCTTATGGACCAGTCTACATAAATATACAGGAGCTGCAGTTTACAGTTCAGAGGTTGTTCTGAATGGAATTGTAATTCAAAAATTAGAATTTGAGAGGTATGATAACATTTGGAAGTCCTTTTTCCTTCATATTTCTTTTCTATTTTTCTACATGATCATTTACTGTTTTTTAAACCTAGTTTGATATATTAGCCTTGCTATGTAAATGTCACCTTTGATCACAACCATGAATAGGAGTAACTTAAAAATTGAGTTCAAAGTGATTTTCCGATACCAAGGGTCTTAGACCCAAAAAAAATCTTGTGTCAAAAGCACATTGGGTTGTTGAAATTATTGTATGAATCCATTGTTTTCATTACCGACTCCCTTTCATATTATGTCTAAAGTCTAAACGTTAAGCACAGGTAAAAACTCTTATAAAGTGAGATTAACTCAAAGGTGAACTAGGAAGGATGTATCTACTCTTGACTTTTAGTGGGTTCAGATCACAATGCATGAGTACACTCTTATTTGTCCACTCGGAGATAAGTTCACTTAAGAAGAGCCTTATCCATAAGCACAAGCACAGCATAACTTATGCTATGTAGACGAGCAAGTTTCAGACAACTTGGAAGTCAAGTAGTACTCTTTTCACATATTTGCATGTAGCTAGCCTATAATTCATCACTATGGAAAAAGTAAAAGCATTGTCTAGTGTCTTCCCAATAGTGATTAGTAAAGCATCATCTCAAATTTTTGTTTATCTAAATTTAACTTTATAATGAACTTTGGCAGACATCAACTCTTCATTAATCAAGTTACAAGGAATAACACAAGTACGTCTAATCGGTTTGGGAAGGTTTACAGAAGACGTTGAGGCCTTTTTTCTGGACTGTAGCTGATTTTTGAAAATGTTATTCAGGTCTACGGTGGAGCTCATAAAAGTAATGGTGGTCACTCGTCCCAGATGTTTACTTACGAGGGTACTTGTGCAGTTACTTTCAAATGAAACTTTGTCTTTCTTTTTACTTTGGCATGTTCTTAAGATAATCAAATGGAGTCAAAGGATAACTACAGAGCTGGGGATTTTCTTTTTTAGGTGCAAGGGAGTACTTTAATGTAGTATATAAGTTGACCAGGGTCATTGACATGAAGATTCTCACAAATTTGTAGATATACAATGTATGTATTTTTTTTCTTGGTAAATGCTCAACATTGCCTGGCCCAGCTGCATTCTGCACATGTATAACTGTTGAATTTCGTTTTTGTTTACTTCTGCCGCATGATAGATCCCATGTGCACAAATTGTCACGTTGCCAGATTTTTTTCATTTGGAAGACCATTTAAAAGGCTAGATATATTTATATACACTTCAAGTGTACACCCAATTTCAGCAGTGTCTTATCCTTGTTGTGCATGAAGTTGCAAATACCAACATGATCTAAGTTAACATTGCGCTAGTGACTTATTAACTTTTTCACTGCAAGTGTTAGCAAACCTGCTTATGAACTTTACAGTTTGGAATGCTTGTATCAAAATTTAGGTTAAAGTATCTTTACCACCATTTATAAAAGAGTAAAGCATATCATAAAAAATTAAGAACTCATTTTACTTGACTCACGAGTTTCAATGTGCAAATTACAACTTTATAAAGAGAGGAAGGGAAAAAAACGCCGGGGGTGGCGATGCCTGATCAGATGTGGGAAAGTCATAACTATTTTTTGGTCCCCTATAAAAGGATGAAATTAAAACTGCATAATTTTTGCTTGCTACCCCTGTATTTGGTTGTGAGGAGAGAAATAGGTGAAAAAATAAAGTGAAGAGAAACAAAAGAGAGAAATAAGAGTAGAAAAAGAATGGAAATAAGATTGTTTGGAGGTGAGAGAAATAGATAAGAAATAGAAAAAAAAATATATATTGTAAAGTTGCTTGATTTTAATGGATGAAGAGGAAATAAATTACAATTAGTAATAAAATTACAATATTACTCTTCTGTCAAATTTTTACACATTTTATCTAAATAAACATGTTTCTTTGAATAAAACATAAGCTTATTCGAATAAATATATGCATGTTTATTCAAATATATAACTTTTAGATATTATTTTATTCGAATAAATATATGTTGAATAAAGACATTTTTCTTATATTTAATAAAAAAATTATAATATTACCTTTTTGTTATTTACTGTAAAATTGTTGTTTATTTGATTAAACAACATTTATTCAAAAAAAAAACTATTGTTATTTGATTAAAAATTTAGGTTATTCGAATAAATTGTATGACACGAGTTTCTCTTCGTTATTTCTTAGTTTTGCAAAATGATTTTACAGATGTGAGATTCATGTCTGTAAATTTCTTATCTAACAAATTTCATGCTTATCAAACAAGTAAATTTATTTCTTATGAGTTATTTCTTCTCTTTCATTGCTATTTCTTTGCTGTTTCATACCACAGAGTACAAGAAAAGCCCGTGAAGATGCTTTTTTCTGATCATAACAATACCAAGAATTAAAAGAATGACTGCAAAGGTCCAGCAATCATCGCAACTACGCACAACAAACTTCTAACGGTGTCGACGTGCCAGCTTATTCATATTTCTTTAACTACTGTAGAAAATAATAAATATAAGATATTGGTCACAAATATAAGTATAATTTAATTGGTGAATTATTCAAAGCTCTTTTAAATATATTTATTACAATCATACCATCATAAAATTATTAAACAGTGCATAATATTATATTTGAACATTGAATAAATTTTACAAAAAACTTTAAGAATAACACATTCACAAACTTTAAGTTGAACTAACATGAAATTATGCCAAAGTTGTAGATAAGGGTGTTCGGAACTTGTCCTTATCATTTTACCCAACTTGGGCTTGAGCACTTCTAATTAACTGTAATCCTATACGCGAGTCGCTCTGCAACATTTTTGTTTTTGTCCATCCCGTGTTGAAATAATCTTAGTCATCCACCTAAATTTGAAAATTTAAGTAAGACAAATAATAGTACATGTTTGTGTTATTATCTTATTTATTTCTATATATCAATTTAAGCAAATTTAATTTCATCTTACTTAGGTTTAACCTTAACTAGATCATATATTATTGTGGTTAAGGATATATTAATGTACCGGATAGATCTTGAACACTCAACTGATCTTGATCTCACATTAGTTGACTAAGAGACATGATCAAGAAATACTCAAATAAGAGTATTTAATTAAAGATACTCGACCGAGAGATATTCAACTTAACCTAACATTAACATGATAAAACAATAACACTATTATAATCATTAAAAGGTTTTAAATGTGTTTAATTATTTGAATTAATAATGGTAAGTTTATTTTATCTATTTATATATGCGCTTCAGATATAAAAAAGTATGTAATATATATACAATACACTCAATCACTTGTTGATTTTGATATTAGAGTCCATTTTGCAGGTACACACCACCTCCCACTCGAAAGCTGGGGATCTAGAAATCTATAATTGAAGACTTTTTGAAGATCTCTTGTACTCATTTTTTAGCAAGAACAATTAATGTTTAGAAAATTAGCCCAATAAAAAAATTAGAATTGAGTAAAGACAAATATAACTAGTCTCACAAATACATCTACTTATGGTACCACTTATTTCTAACCTGTAAATAAATCCATAATTTAATGATTAAAAAATCCATAATTTGACAAATTAATGCCAATTAAGACAATTTTTTTACCAAAATAAATATTTGTTTTTTGCGCAATTAACATTGATATTATAAAAAAAATTTATAGTCTAAAGTTGAACGGGTTTTAGTAATACAAAATGTAACCCATATGAACTTCAGTAGAAAAGTTAAGTGTTTTTGTTTTGATTTAAAGTAAAAGAAGATTAAGTAAAAAAAAAAAAAATTCAAGCAAAAGTAAATTGTCTGGTATAAAACTAACGTAATAAACTACAATTTATCTTTGCACAACTGTATTCTATGAATCTTATACTTAAATATATTAACTTCGGTCAATCCATTATAAATTGGTTGATCTAGTGTATGCCAGATACGACCCACTTTCTTATTCATTATGATTTAGTATTATTTAGAAATCGAATTCCGTAAAGTCTGTTTAATTTATATTTTAGTATAACCAAATTTAAAATAATTTACATTGATATTTTTTTAACATTGAGTTTAGGAGGAATAGCTTGTTTTGAGAACAATATTTTGAAAAGAAAATTATAAAAATCAAATTTAGTTATTTAATATATTATTTTTAAAACTCGAAAATTCTAAAATAAAACATTTGCATTTTGATGTGTAGACTTTAGTACAAAATAAGACTTTTCATCTATATGAAAATTAAGTATACATTGAATGGTATTTAAAAGGATTTTGGTAGCCGCAAATGTGAATTTAGACCAAAACAAACGGCCTATAAATCCAGTCATTGATAGCCCAAAAGAGACAAGCAAGGGACAAAGACACTGAACATGTTTAGAGCAGACCTTTACTGTTTGTTCTTCTTTAGGAAGTGGCCCAACCCAAGAATATTGTACCCTTTCACTCCATTCTTTGCCTTAGATTATTTCCCAACGTAGCAATTTCATGCACAATAATAACAAAATGGGCCCTACTGGATCTTCATTTGAGCTGGTCCATTCCATTGGTGGCAATTAATTTTAATTTTATTCATCTTGAATAATGCAATGGATAAATAGTTTCTGTTTTGCTCCAAAGTTGAAAGGGAATTGCCCTTTTCCTCTTTTGATGATCCTTGTCATTTTTATAGATATGAGTGGTTATCATGTGGGTAGGGAGAGTTGAGAAATATCCAATACCATGCTTTCCCTCACTCACCACCAAAAAGGTAAACCCCCTTTGCTCTACAATTTGACACCCCTTTTTATTGACCTAAAGTGAAAAGGAACTATCAACTATCTTTAGTTTAGTGCGAATGATTCTGGTTTTCCACTTGCGTTTGGAGTGTATTATCAATCAAGACATGGGGAGATAGATAGATAATCATCGGGAAAAGAATGTTCTTCATTTGTTTAATTCGTGACGCATTGACCATTTCTAATTTCAATCATAGATACATAGCATAAAATAAATTTATCGTGTTTTTCATCTTAAAAAAGAGAAAATAGTCAAAGTAATATATTCATATTAAAAGTCATCATTTTGTATATTATAGTAACATAATTTGCCCAAAAAAGCAAAACATGCGGAAGGAATTTTACTCGAAATGGAATCCATTTTGTTTCGGCTCATTGCATTAATTTTTCATATCTTTAAAAATGTATTTTATTTGAAATTTTGAATTGAAAAGGAATGAAGACAAATATGGTTGTCCCGAAAGGTAGTGTCAAAGAGGGGAATTAAAAAACGAAAGGGAGTGAGAATGATTGTTGGGATAATAAGGGATTGGGTAAAATTGGGGAAATAAATATATAAAAAATTAATAATTTAAAAAAAAAAAAAAAAAAAAAAAAGTAGAAGGTTTGGAGAGAGAAAGATGTATGAAGGCATTTGCGCTGTCTTGGCGGGACAGTCTGGCTTGCTTATCTTCGTACCTCGTTTTTCTCGCTTACTACCATACTGCCCCTTTTCTTCTTTTTTACTTTTCTACCCTTTCCTTTCTATTTTCCTTACATACAATTGATTGGAGTTTGATAAGCAAAGTGAGCATAGCAATTGATAGCATTAGAGGGTGAGGACTCAGGGTAATTGAATCTTCGTTGGGTTTGGTTTAATTTAATTGGTATTGCCTCAAAAGCTAAGTAGGTTGAAGATGATGACCACCTATAGTATATATGTAGCATAACGTCTATGATGTGATGAATGATGTGTGTGATGTGATGTGTTCCTTCCATCACCAAAATTAGATTTAACTCCATCTCCATGTGCCTTTCATCTATCATTGAAATTGGAAATTCGATAATTTTGTTTCATTTTATGTTGCAAAATTAAACCTTGATGTGATAAGCGGAGAGGGAGACATCCCACACATGTTCACTTTTACATGTTTATTTACAACAATTTTAAACATAAGATAAGAGTCAATTTACATTGACCCCTTTGTTTAGGCAAGTCATTAATGTATTGTCCTTCCTATTTTGGGTGTATCGGAGTGAATAGAAAAAATATTGAAAAAATAGATATATAAGGTGATGTTATTAAAAAAGTAAAGATAAAAAAATGAGGTAAAAGTAATAATGACAATTTTTTCAAATTATATGTACTCAGAAAAAATATTAAGGTAGAAAGTTTAATAGTGTTAAAAAAAATTATACGATCAATTAATTAAATATAAATTTTGATATAATTTTTTTAACTTATTTATAATAAAATTCAATGATGTGCTATAAATAATAGTTTATGATTAAATAACAATATAAAATTATAATTTTTACTATAGTTATATTATCAATCTTCTCTAAGTTAAAATAATGTGTGATCGGTGAAAAAATATTCTTTGAATGCAGATTAATATTTGATTGTCAATTTTAGAATATTGCATGAATTATGTTCATAAAAATAATACTTACATAATAGAGATACATATGTAACTGTATAAATATTTCAATACTCAACTCTCACTTCATATTTGAACAAAATTTAATACCAGTATCATAATGACGTACTAACAAATAAGATGTAATAAAATATTAATTTTTTTTTAGATATGTAAAACTATAATTTGAACCTAAGCAAGTAAAAAAATTAACATACATGTTACCCTCGTGTATAGTATGTTTAAACCTAGACATTCTAATTATATAACAATAATTATAGAACACAAAATAATGGAAACATACTTTTGTGACACCTATCATAAATAATGTTCATCAATAACAATGCATAAAACTAGTGAAAGAAGCATAAGACATTTAAATTAAGAATAGACCAACAAACAAAATAAACTAATTCAATTTTTATGTTATCAACAACTCTAAGATCACCATAAAATCTTATAATTTAATGTCTCAAAAAATCTTTAATGAACCCACCAAAAAACCAATTGGACCTAGTTGCCCCAAACTGTTACTTTAGAAATAATCCGTACTTCATTATAATATATTAAGTACATATTGTTTCAAATACATGCAAGGTTTCTAAAATAATTGATAACATTTTTAAATATTGTTATGGCTAAAATTTATAATTAAAATTATTAAAATTTCATTTAATATTAAAAATGCGTTACATTATATTAAATGAGTTTTTCTTTTTAATATATTGATATTGAATTGTTAGAAACATTTCCATTACAAAATAAAAACAAAAAGAGATTTGATAAATAATTTAAAATAAATATTTAATATAAATTTTACCTAAAATATTATATTTTGTTTTTGTTTTGATAGATTTAATAGCAACTATTTTATTTTCATTTTTTTTATGTTTAAGAATTTGTAAAGACAAGCAACTAGCGAGTATAGATGCATGTATATAACTTTCAAAGAACACATTTGTGAATATTAAAATTGTTATTCATACGAGTATGAAATCGACTATAAGTTTTTTTTTCCTTTTCTTTTTCAACGCAGTTATGAAAATTAGTGTTATAACATTTTATTCAAATCTTACTTATTATCATACATGGGTGAAAGTGGGATAAAAAGAATAAACTTATAATTATAAATTTTCATATTTACGGATTAAATTAATAGTCGAGGAGTTTCGATGTAGGAATTGAGTTTTGTAAAGTGAGTAAATAATTTTGATTATTGATTAAAAAAATTTAAGAATTGATATTTGAATATGTGTACTATTTGTTATGCATTTCTTAGTTTATCAAAAAATATCTTCTTTTAAACAAGGAGACTAATTTTTTCATAAATTTGATAGACACAATCAAAATATATATATATATATATATATAATTACATTGGTTTTTCCTGAAGTCTTTTTAAATTATACACATCCTTCATTTAGTTTTTTTAAGTGAATATTACTGTTATTTATTTATTTAAGTAACACATATAATCCTTTAAATAAGATAACATTATTTATATACTATTAATAAAAAATAAATTAATAATACAAGTGTCAATAATTGAATAAGATTTGATCTCACACTTAATTTTAAATCTTAAATTATATCATAAATATTATGTATGTTATGATTTAAAAAATATAATATTTTTAAAAATGGGTTGATAAATTATTATTTCAAGATTAAAAAATAAAAGAAATAAAAAAAATTATAAAGAAAATAAAGTATTTTACGCAATTTTTAAATAAATAATGGATGTGTATAATTGATAGAATAAACAGCAATAAATTATATCAAGTTTAATATCAAGTTGAATAATGAAAGTTGCACTCAACAACCAATAAACAGCAATAAATTATATGGCTAAAATGAAAGGGGGAAAAAAACACAAAAATAAAGGTGAACAAACGGAATTAAGAATAAGTCAAACCACATCATCCGTTCCCGTTCCCTCATTCTGCATTTGAATAAGATTGAATTGATTTGACATAATCACTTATTTCACTTTTTCACTAACATCAAACACCCATATAATTTGAGTGACGAGTGGATGCAGTAGAAATTGATTGATGAAATTGGTAGAAATTAACGCAGGAAATTGGGATAGAGATGAGATCCCATCGCTCAGTGAGAAACATTTATTCAAGTGAAACTAGATTCACATACACAAACATTTTCTCTTTTTATAAGATTCAATTTAGTTGGAAGAATTAATTTGGTAAAAGAAAGGGTGCATGGAATGGAAGACAGAAGGGCAGGGAGGAGTAGGAGTAGGAGGGGAGAGTGGCAAAATGGTAAAAAGGGAGAGAAGGATGTCTGTAAGTGTAATGGAAGGTTATAATAATTAAAATGGCATTATTATTTATTAATGAAAGCTTAATATTTAATAATAAAATGGAAGGAAAAGAAAAGGAATTGAAGATCCAAGTTTTGGCATCTGGAGATTAATGGCGGAAGAGAGTAAATCTAGCGAGGAAAGTGTGAAGCTGTTCGTAGGGCAAGTGCCGAAGCACATCACCGAAGCAGAACTCCTTGCAATGTTCAAGGAGTTCGCACTCGTCGACCAGGTCAACATAATCAAGGACAAAGCAACTCGCGCTTCACGAGGTACGCTATTCTCCTCAACAAACCTCCCTTCTCTCGCTCCTTCCAACCCTAATTTAGGTTTCCCTCGCAGGTTGTTGCTTCCTCATTTGTCCCTCCAGGGAAGAGGCTGATAAGGCCGTCAATGCCTGTCACAATAAGAAGACGCTACCCGGGGTCCGTTCCATTCCTCTTCCTCTTTCTTCTTTCTTTTTTTCTTCTTTTCTTATCAATTATCAATTATCAATTATCATCCATCAATTATCAATTATCATCCATGCTTCAATCGATCCCTTTCTCCATCTCCTCCTACTATTTTACCATTTTTTTTCTTTCAAATAAAACTCTCTTACTCTCTTGCTTTTGCATTCTCCACTCTTCCTTTAAGTTCGGATTTTCGTGCAACTCAATTTTTGTTGGAGTTTTTATTTTTTTTATTTTTATTTACTTTTTGGGCCCGAGGGTTTCAGTTTATTGACTTTCACTGTTATATTCAGCCTGAGATTAGTTATCCTGGGTGATATTAATTAATATATAATTTTACTATTAATGTTTCTTTTGTATTAATGCGATTGAGGTCTTGGGTAGGCCTTGACCCTTGTTGACATCAGAAAATAGAACAGAAATGCAAATGAATGAATGTAATTTTATCGAGTGTTTTTCATTGTCGTGATATGTCCATTTGTTATACTTATAAAAGTGTATATATGATTGACTAGTCGCGTTTTATTTTTATTAGTTAATTAGTTAATAAATGCGTTTCATGTAATGCGAGTGGGTTATTGTAATTCTTGTCACCCTTTAACGTTGAGAATTTAAGGGTGTGTTTAGTTTGAGAAAGCGTTTTCCGGTTTTCATTTATGTTTCTTCTAATAATTACAATAGTGTCACCATGTTTTCACATTGTTTTCAAAAAGATTTGTGCGGTTTCCATCACTTGCTGCACGAACATTCCGAAAACGGATTTCAGTGTGTTTTACATTCTGGTGCATTTTCTTAGGTCATTGTATTCGTAGTTATTAATATTCCTTTTGTCTGAATCTGACATGCATAAACAGTTAAGCCCGTTCGGATGCATGATATTTATGTTGGATATGCTAAATTGAAAATAGAATATCTTAGGAACCGTTTACTTGTGTTTTCATTGGCTATTTTCACTTTTTAATTACAAAACTGTCACCTTGTTTTCAACTTGTTTCCTATTTTTGAAGATCTATACATGGAATATTGAAAACAACTTTTGTTCTATTTTCTCTTTTTGATGTTTCTTGTATAAATCTTTGAAAATAGGAAACAAATTGAAAACAATGTGACAGTTTTGTAATTAAAAAAAGTTAAAACAGAAAATAAAAACAGGAAAACGGAACCTCAGGGCTGTTTACTTCTCCGTTTCTACTATTTTCACATTTTAATTACAAAAATGTCACATTGTTTTCAATTTTCTTCCTATTTCAATTATTTGTACACAAAATAGAGAACAAAGAATTTATTTTCAGTTTTTCCTATGCAAATCTTGGAAAATGGGAATAAATTGAAAAATAACTATGATCCACTCTCTTTGCCTTTTAGGCTCAAGGTTGGAGCGACTGCGTACCCTCCTAAGTCGCCAACCAACCGATCTTCACCTTTTTGGCTCAAGGCTAGAGGGACTATGTACCATTCTAGTTGTCAACCAAATTGAGCTTATATCTATACCTATATATAAAAGCAATATCCTTGTTTCATATCCACATTTATTTGACATGTTTACCCTTTAGAAAACAAAATATGAAATAACCTTACATTTTGAAATCTTTAAAATTTGATCAAGAAAGACAGTTTCGGAAATATAGAACTATCACAATTATTTTTCTGTATTTTTAATAATTACTCACTATTATATAATTTTTATTTTTATTATTATTTTTTAAATAATTTATGGAAGTATGAAGTGCCTTTTATACGTTAGTAAAAATACTTATGTTCCATCATCTTTGCCTTTCAGGCTCAAGGCTAGAAGGGCTGTGTACCCTCTAGCGATTGAAAGCATAGCACTAACTAACAATACCATGAAGGGACACCTTTCCTATGATAGGGAGCAATGCTCATCTTTCCTCCTAGGTTGTTGTCCGACCAACCATTGGATATCGGTTGGCTAATGGTTGCCTTTGGCTAAAAGATTGAAACATTTGTGATGCATCGATTATATAGGGATATCAATGTCCCACTATAACAATAAGAGAGTAGGCGGTCATCAAAGATAGACTCTATAGTGGATAGATTGAGAATCAAGGGGAGGGTCTAAGAGGATAGTGGATAGAAACTGCCTCTAAAATGGGAGGAACAAGTTTTTAGATATAAGGCGAGGCTTAAGATATAAGGAGCGGTCCTTCACTTATCTTTCCTTTCTTTTGCTTTGACGACAGAACTCTCTGTCTGTCTATGGAACAAGGCCTAACAAGCCTGTGATAAGTTATCCTGGACATTTGTAGTTATAGTATTTTCCTGTGAATGATTATTTATTTTTGTTACGAGTCCTAACTAAATAGCCATTTTAGTTTTTTTTTGTACAAGGCTATAGGTATCATTCACAAAGGACAATCATGTTCGAGCCGGATAGGATTATTATGAACAACAAAACTTTTCCTATGAGCATAAAATTTTAGTTGATTTTGTTCTTAATATATCTCATTTAACAACTAACAAGAATATAAGTGGTGTCTTGGGCACCCTACCCTTAATAACATCAGAAAATAAAAAAGAAATACAAGTCATTGGACAGAATATAGAAAAGTATTTATAGTTGAATTAAATGTTTTTATTCCCTGAACTTTTATCAAATTTTGTTTTTACTCCCTGAACAAATTTTATTTGATTTTAGTTCCTAGAAGTTTTCTTTATGAACAAAATTTTTTTACACTAGGGACCAAAATGTTAATAGAAAAAAAATTCAAAAATTAAAAGTGAAAATTGACAAACGATTATAGTGTGTTTGGATAGAGAATAAATTTAATAGTGTGTTTGGATGGAGAATTTAAATGGAGTAATTCATTTATTTGAAGAATTTCAAATTCTTTGAGGTGAAATATCTTGTTTGGATGAGGAATTTATAAGGAATTTGAAATTCAAGCATTTGTGAAATTCCTTGAAATAGTAGAATTTCAAATTCTCCCAAAAGAGTAAGAATTTGAAATTCCTCATTTTTTTTCTTCTTATTTCACTTATATATTTTATCTTATCTATTATCTCTTCATGTTTTTAATTATTGAATATTCAAAAATATATTTAAAATTATTAAATATTATCTACTATTAATTTTTAAAATTATTAAATATTTAAAAATTAGCTAATATTTATTTTTTAAAAATTGAATTTAAAAATTTCAACATATAAATATATTTTTAAAATTAATTTTATCATAATGAAATCAAATTATCATATCCAACCTAACAATTTAAAATTTGAGAAATTTGAATTGACTTATCCAAACAAAATATTTTAAGAATGATAGAAATTAAAATTAAAGTAATTCAAATACCAAGAATTTAAAATTCCTTGAATTTGTAAAATTCTTCATCCAAACACACCATTAGGGATTAAAATTAATAAAAAATTTGTTCATTGACTAAAATCAAAATTTGATAATAGTTTAGAAACTAAAAACATATTTAATCTTTTATAGTATAATTTTTATTACCGTGAATATACACACACATACACCTATGCACTTGTTATTTTAAGTATTAATTTATTAATAAATATATGTAATGTATGCAGATGCATCGTGTAATTTCTTCATTCATTTCTGAAAGGTGAAAACCATGACTAGAGTATTTTAAGGGTATGCTTGGTTTTAAAAAAATTGCCTTGTTACTACTAATAACAAAGTTACCTTTTTTCCAAATTTGTTTTCCCCTGTTTTTAAAAATTCATGCTGCTTTCACTGCTTCCTGTAGAAATAGTTGAAAACAGGATACAAAGTGAAAGCCATGTGGCATTTTTTTTTATTAGTTAAAATAGGGGAAAAACAAATCAAAGAACCTTTCTTCAATCCAAACAGGCCCTAAACACCCTATTTGGATACTCAGTGGTTCCCTGATATCTTGATGCTCTCAACTGGGACCTTTTCCCTTGGCATACATAACAACAAAGTTTAATTTCTCTACTTTCAATGCTAATTGATGGTAGAGATTAGGTTGATATTGCAACTAGTTCAAGTGATTAATGTAGTGAGTAGTAGTGACTACATCAACAAGTAAATTTCTGAAAATTCATGGAAACCATATCTGAATTATGACAGTTCATTCTCAAATTAGATAGCTACATGGCCTTGATTATGACAAAGGACGTTGACCCAAGAAATTATATAGTTTGTGCTTCTTATCCGTAATCTTTAATTTTATTTTTACATATATGTTGGTTGTCAATTCATTATAATTATGGCCTTTATTTCACAGATAAACTATCTTTCTTATGATTTTCTTTTTGTGTGTGTATATATGTGTGTTTTTAACGACTTCCTGGATCAGTGTTGAGCTGACACTTGTTAATATTATTATGTTCCTAGGAGAGTTATCAAATTGACTAACTTTTTTGTGATATAACAAGGGTGTTGTAATATTAACCATGAATATTCAACGGAGACACCTTATATAGCTTCCATTGCCTTGATCCATTATGTATATAGCCCTTTAGATTTTGAGATGATAGGTAAGGCTGTTAGCCCCTTCAGTAACTACTCTCAGCACATTGCTTATTGTTGAAGTTCATTAAGAAATGGTGGGAGGAGAAATAGACAAATTTGAAGCCTCAATATAGCTAATTATTCATCTAAGGAGATTGAAGGGAAAACCCTTTTAACTAGTACATAGAACCTTGCCCAGAATAAAGTAGACTTTTAAAGATTTCGTGAGTGGGAAACAAACATGTAATTATTGAAGAAATAAATAATTCTAAAATTGTTTGTAAACAACGTGCTAAGTTTCTTGACAGAGTTGTGGTTTGGAGAACATGTTCATTAATTATGGAACTAGACTTGTAAATAAATTATTATAGTCAATAAATTTTATTTTAATAATTAATATATATATATATATATATATATATATATAACTGTGAAAATTAATTGAACTCAATGTAACATGAAGAAAAATATCTGAATATACAAATAAAACGCAATGATAAACGATTGAAAACATAATAATATGAAGTATTATAAAAATTAAATTGCATTGTGTCTCAGCTTCAAAAACATCAACATCTACAATATGAGCTAATGCATTAACCTGAAAAAAAAAATCTTATAACTAACTTATAAGAGGTGTAATATTAAAATGCTATAAAGATATATTAATTCAAATAGAAAAGAAACAAAATTAAATTTTTACCTTATACAGTAATTATATCCACCAAAATCATCCCCAAGGAATTTGCTTGCAATGGATTCTTAAACTTTGGCAGCCTCCACAATCTTATTATATGAACTCTTATCTTCTAGTCAATTCTCCCCGCTGCAATGTCCATTAGTAATGTAAATCTCTAAGCTATTTCTTTTAAAAAGAAGATGAAATTTATAATTGTTATAATTTATGGAAAAAAAAAACTTCTTCGTCCATCAAAATCATCTCCAAGGAATTTGTTTGCAATGAATTCTTAAACTCTAGCAACTTCCACAATCTTATTATATGAACTCTTATCTTCTAGTCAATTCTTTCCACTGCAATGTCTTTTAGTAATGTAAACCTCTGAGTCATGTCCTTTAAAAAGAAGATGAAAGTAAAAAGGATAAAACTTTTAATAATATCTTCACTAATTATATTTTTTTTGTGAAGATGAAAATTTCAAACAGAAGCAAAAATAAAAACTACACTATCCAACAATGAAATTTATAAGTATTATAATTTATGAAAAAAAAAACCTCTTCATCCACCAAAATCATCTCCAAGGAATTTATTTGCAATGGATTCTTAAACTTTGACAGCTTCCACAATCTTATTATACGAACTCTTATCTTTCAGTCAATACTTCCCACTGCAATGTCCTTTAGTAATGTAAACCTCTGAACCATGTCCTTTAAAAAGAAGATGAAAATAAAAAGGATAACACTTTTAATAATATGTTCACTATACAGTAACATTGAAACAACCAACCATTAAAATTAAAACTTCATACAAGCTTACCTAAAAATGGTTTTCCTATGATTGATAGAGAAGGTTGAATCCTCAGATTAGAAGTTAAAAAGTACCCAAATCAGAAAGTGGACAATGTATATATGGAGAGAGTATTTTTAGAAATAGGGAGTATGATAGAACTGGACAATCAGAATGAAGTTTTGAAAAGAAAAATGCTTTAAAAATTAGAGGATAGTTGAGATCAATTGGCATTGAAAAGTTGCAACTAATGCATAGAAAATAGATATCCATAATTGCTTCTCTGAGCGGAAGATAAAATGCAAGCAATTTAATGGAAAACGTATAAAGCAGAAAAGAAGATGAAGAGTTTTTCTTTTGTATAAAGTAAAGAGAAAGAGGAAAGGTTTTTCTTATGTTCAGAATTTAAAATAAAAAAATAAAATTCAGAATAATTATGATAAGATAAAATTACATAAGTACCCTTATTTTGAGCGGGAAAAAAGAATCACAGACTTCCTTCCTTTTATTATAATAAAGATAAAGATAAAGATTTAGGCTTTTATTTGTCAATTCAATACAAAACCATTTTGATGATGGCCTTTTCTTTCCAAAGACGTTTTTATTCATTTTTTTGGAATTTGCTGACCTAGTAATTTACTTCCTGGCAGATGCCCTTCTAATGGCTTCTGCCTGCTTGATGAATTATACTTGTTGATTGTTCCAGATGGAAATATGCATAAAAAACTGAATACAATTGAAAATTTTGATTTATTGATTATCCTAACTCCAAAGCCTTCTTAATAATGTCATGGAAGTTATTTCTTTAATGAACATGTGATATGATATTATTCTTGTTCTGGTTTTGAACATCCTGTGTTTTTCTGTCCAATTCAGGCATCTAGTCCATTACAAGTGAAGTATGCAGATGGCGAGTTGGAAAGATTAGGTATAAAATATTTTTATTATTTAATTAAAAGTTTTATTCAGCAGAACAATTTGTGAGAATTATTCATGTGCCAGAATTCCTTTTGTTATTTGAGGCCATGCCTTGAAAGTAATTTTTCTTTTGTCCTCTTGAATTCAGAACACAAGCTCTTCATTGGCATGCTTCCAAAGAATGTTTCTGAAGTTGAAATATCTGCACTTTTCTCCAAGTATGGTACTATAAAAGATTTACAGATTTTAAGAGGTTCTCAGCAAACTAGTAAAGGTGCTGATTTCATGCCTTAATCCATCTTTTATTTAGGGCTTCTGTAGGCATTATTCATAGTTCTCCTATTTTGTCGTAGGTTGTGCATTTTTGAAGTATGAAACCAAAGAACAGGCTATTGCTGCTTTGGAGGAAATCAATGGAAAGCATAAAATGGAGGTCGGTGTTTATTAAAACCATCACCAGAATTTTTAACACATTTTTTAATTTGGTAGTAGTACGATTTTATTAAAAGAATTCATCTATTACATATTTTATTAATCGAGGAAAGGGGCGAATTAGACTTGATGTACAGGATGAAACTATACTGTTAGTTGATTGATCGATAATATTTAGCCATTTGCTGGTACTATGATTTTGCTGATGCATTGTATGTGTAGACATGGCTTTAAAACTGAAATCTCGACTAAGATGGCATGATTGATCATAGACGCATGGACGATTTTAGATTCAATAACATGTTTTTGGTTCCTTGTTTGTGGTAGAATGGAAAAGTGCATGCCTTTAAACTCGATTACAATTTTAGTTGTAAATGGTGTTTGCAGTATTTTGGACCTTCAAGCGGCATTCAGCCACAAAATCCTGTTGGTGAGGGACGTTAACGTTTAATCATGTGTCTCAGATTTCATTATAGATGCAAAAATACCTATTATCTCAATTTTTTATAGTTGTCTCAATTTGGAAATCTAAGAGTAAGACTGCCTTTGTCCCTAAATTGGTTTGTATAAGATAATGTTTCAGGCTCAGGCTCGACTCATTATTTATATGACAGTTGACAGGCTCAAACTGGATCCAAGCTTGGAAAGGGGAACTCAAGCTATGGCTTGTGATGTTCATTATATTTTGCAATAAAATGTGCCCAAGCTGAATAAATCTCAAGCTTAGGATTTTTACACATTCACAATTAACCCCTTATGCATGGTTTCGGTCAACACATATAATAACAATATATATGAAATTATAAAATATTTGAATTAAAGCTTGTGAACTTGGAAAATGTTGGCATAGTGGAGTTAAACTAGCATCTCATTTGCTTACAACCAATTGGGTTAGGATTTACTAAAAAAACACATTTCCTGCTGCAACTAATCTTCCAGTGGGATTACCTCTGAAATGTTAAGCTTCACCTATACACTATTTTTGTTTTGTGTTTGCATAGCGCTAAAGTCATTTGGTTTTGTTTGCTTGATATGTTTACTCATACATGACAAACATCATAGATATTGCTAACTTGACAAGTATATTAATTCAAATAAATGCAATATATGATATTTGTTTTGTCTTCCATAGGGTTCAAGTGTTCCCTTAGTAGTCAAATGGGCTGATACTGAAAAGGAAAGACAAGCTCGAAGAGCTCAGAAAGCACAGTCCCAAGCTTCTAATGTACCACATACTGATTCTCAGCACCCGTCATTGTTTGGAGCCGTGCCTATGAGTTATGTTCCTCCATATAATGGATATGGTTATCAGGTTGGTTCTAACAAGACTATTCTTTTTTCTTTTGCATAATTATGTCTTCCAATCAAAAACCATTACGTTTGTATGTTAAAGTTAGTTACCATACCTAACATCTCGATGAGATACGTGTGATAATAATCATTTTCTCTTTTGATAGGCCCCTGGAGGTTATGGGATTATGCCATATCGCCTGCTTCCAATGCAGAATCAACATGGTTTCCATAATATGATGCCTCACATGAATCAAGGAAATGCATTACGGCCTGAACTTGGCCCCAATATGAACCCTAGAAATTATCATGTGCCTCCTGCAAATTATGTTGGTTCTTATCCTGCTGTGCCAGGTCTACAACATGCTGTGGCATATCCTGCAGGAATGATTAGTCCAAGGCCCATGAATACTTCTCCCGGTTCTGTTTCACCTGTTGGTGGAAATAACAACTCTGCTGCATCTTCTGGCACCAGTAAAAATTCTGGTGGTCAGGTTGAAGGTTGTTATCTATATCTTATTTGTTCATTGGTGTTTGATACATGTATACTTATGTTTTACCATCACTCTTTCATTACTGCATGAAAGTTTACTCTGATAATTCTACTTCTACTTATTATTTTATTTTCTGACTTAGGACCACCTGGTGCCAACCTATTTATTTATCACATACCTCAAGAATTTGGAGATCAAGAGCTTGCTACTGCTTTTCAACCATATGGAAGAGTTTTGAGTGCTAAAGTTTTTGTTGATAAAGCAACCGGTGTTAGCAAATGTTTTGGTAAGCTTGTGCTCCATTTATTAATGAATTTGATGGTTTTTGTGTGGAGATTGTGTTTGATGAGCTTGAATTTGCAGGGTTTGTTAGTTATGATTCCCCCGAGGCTGCTCAATCTGCCATCGGTATGATGAATGGATGCCAATTAGGAGGCAAGAAATTAAAGGTCCAGCTCAAGAGGGATAACAAGCAGGGTAAACCATACTGATGAAGCTGACAATGGAATTTTGTATAATTCACATTGTAATTCATGACCCATCTGATGTTAATACAATTTGTAATTTTCTGTAACATGAAAGTTAAATTAGACATTGATTATTAATTTATTGATTTTTCCCCCACAACGCTTCTTTATTGTATTATCTTTTATTACATTCATCTAGGTCCCAGATAAGAAGATAACCTTTTGTTTGGCTCCCTTAGACAGTAACCACTATTTTCGTATTTAACTTTATTTTTTTGTCACATGTAGTGAGGAAATATTGTTTACCCCAGCCACTGTCCGTATCTGAGTGTATTAATCTCAGCAAACATTGATCAATTCTCGATGTAACACATTCATGTGAAATGTCACACGTGGCGCGTGAAATAAATGTGCACTGATAGATTAATTACTTGTATAATGTTTTATAACAAAATTGGAGAATAATGGACAGTGACAAAAGTGGACGGTGGCTTTTGGTTAGAATAGGTGCTAATGGATGCAGTATTGAACTTAATTAAACATACAAATATGTAAGCTGAATGTGTTTGGTAATCTTATGAAAATCAAGAATCCTTTCATTTTTGCCTCGTTTTCCATTTTGGATCTTCCTCAATCCTCCTACTAGGAAACTCTTGTTTTGTGGATCAGCTTTTGATATCATGTGTTAGTTTCATTAGTTTTTTTTTCTTCCCCATATGTATCAAGAAATAATGCGTGGTTGGACTAAAAATTAGTGCATCTTCATTTGGAACAGTGGTCTACTTTTGTGGGAGACCCTTTATATCAAAATTTGGGAGGGGCTGAGAATTAACTTTAGAGGACAAGTATTTCTTGTCCACAAAATATATTAGAAGCAAGCTAATAATATTTCATAAAATGTAAGGTATCACTCTGACTATTGAGAGAGATTTAAGAAGCTCCTCAGAAAGTGCTCCCACCATTTCATCAAAATCATTTTATGGGAATTGTTTTCTAATACAAAGATGTTGGCAAATTCTGCTTGTGGAGGATCCTATAATTTAAAACTACCAGATGGGGCCTTTGAAAACAACAACGGTGCAACGTTTGATGGGCAATAGAGAAGACAAGTCATGGAGGTTGAGGTTGAGAACCCTACTTTGGTTCAAAATAAGCTTATGATCCAACAGATAGAACTTCTTGTAAGGTTTCTTGTAGCATGTGAAAAAAAAAAGAGAATATTTAAAGGGTCTAATTGTGAAGGTAGAAAGGATGATTTCTCACACTCCGAATTATATATTATAGTTTACAATATAGGAATAAACGTTTATGAACAAACACTTTTCATGAAAATTTTTACATGAGCATGATATTTAAAATATTGTTTTATTTTCTAAATCCTAAAACCAATAATATATAATATATTAAAAATTAGTTATAAGTGACATTAAAAGTTGTAGAAAGAAAATATTCATGAAATAATTATTTACTGATATAGAAGGGTGTATTTGAATATTTATTTTGAACGACAACAACCATTAGAAATGTGGATTGACAATAGAAATGTATTGAAAAATAAAAAATGAGTAAAGCAAACATATTTTAAAATTTAGAGTCTGTATAGTAAAATACGAGTTTTTAAGTCTCCATAGATGAGTATAACTTACTCTTAATTATAAGCATATGCATTCTATTGTAATGATTCTATTTCTATGTATGCATAAATCATGAACACCATAAACTTGTTTTAGACATATTAGGTTTTGCTGATGCCAATGACAATTGCCCACACGCTTCATAGATGTATGCTGCCTGCCTAGTGCCTTCCACAAAAGTCAACCTTCCGATTATCATAACTTTTTTCTTTAAAAAAAGAATAATAAATAAATCAATGGCCACACCAACCAACAATATATGTCCCATTTTCTTTAATTTTTCCTAACTCGATTCAATGAGCACACCCACTTTTCCCACTTGATGTTTTAAGGTCATTTTTATTTTCACAAAGGAAAATGTTCTCTACATAATTTTTGGAAGACAAAAGGAAAAACCTATACATAAGACGTAAGCATTTAACTTTCAATATTTAAACTTATACAGTTATACTACATGCCAAAAAATAGCAAATATATATTTAAAAAAAGTTAAATTAATCATACATTTAAAACGAAATTCATTCCTCTAAATTTTTACGTATAACATCTCTCTTCTTTGTACCACGAAGAAAGTGAAAGTGACATGTGATGCAAGCATGACAACCGGAACAACGAAACCCAATTCACACGTGCAGAACAACTCAACGGTGATGTTTTCCTTTCAATGGTTACTTCATTGGGTTATTTATTACTTTATTTAACAGTTCTTAAGTCAAGTTCAATTGTTTGCCGTGAATCATAGGGGGTTTTCTTTTACTTTTATTTTAAAAATTTTAATTTTGTAAAAGTAGTAGTAGTACCTAACCCCTTCTCTCTTGGTTCATTATATTGAACCTTTTTGGAAACGTAACACAGGTCCAAAAATGACCAAAGATTTTTCTAACTTGTCTGCCTTGTGTATCATGCACCCCATAACGTGTTCGCATATGCATTATCAAACACGGAATTCTTAGTATCATGACAACAACACAACACACACCAACCTAAGGTTGGAGAATGTCACAAACAACTTGTACTTTATTTTTGCCTTAATCATAGCTTAGTTTCTTAAACTTCAACTAACAATGTCTATTTTTCTAAAAGATTAATACTTGACTAACTCTAATGCAGCAAAATTTTCGGACTCGGGACATTTTCTTGCGTTAGTTCCTAGTGTTCAGAACTATCACATTAGACAAATAGAGACATACGGATTAGTACACAAATATTAACATGATATTAGATTGGTTCGAATATTTTGAACTATACACCTCCCGTATTTGATATAAATCCAACCTAATGTACACTTTCATTGGATTAGTGCAAAAAAATTATTTATAAATATGCCTTTTTTTTAACACTCCTTTAATTAATTCTCTTTTGTAATAAATTTTATTTTTAAAACTATCTTTTGCAATGTTATAATCATAACATTGACCAACTCTATCAAGATACTGAGTAAGTGAATCATTAGTTAAACCAGTTAGTTACTATTAAATTGCATGAACTTAATATATATATATATATATATATATATATATATATATATATATATATTTATTTAGTGTAAAAATTATTTTTATCACATATTTATAAAAATAAAAAAAAAACTTGTTAGTATAGTAGTTTATTGACCTTTAAATATAATTAAAAATATTATTTTAAATTAAAAATATATTATAAAACTATTTAAATCACAAATATAACAACGAAACATAATAGTCATTTATATAACATTTAAAAAGTATATTATTGAAGCTAATACACATAACTAATATAAAAATTAAAGCTAATATACAAATTATTTGAGTACTTTTATCAAACACTTACAGGTGTATTAATGATTGATTAGAATGTAAATTAAAATAGTTATTGTACAAGTCAACAATCTTACAATAAATTATGATTTATAATTAGATGACAGTGTAAGATTATTAATGTATGATTTTTTTTCCTTTTTTTTTAATACAACTTATACATAACTTATACATAATAGGGGCTAATATATTTGATAATTAACCACTTAAGGAAAATAAAATTGATGGATTTTTTGAAAACGTTTCCATATTTTTAGCATTACCGAAATGTAATTTTTGAAACTAAGAATCACACTTGTTAAAAATACTTTTCAAAAAAAGTATATTTCTTATTCTAATAAATACTTTTCAAAAATATATTTTAAAGCAAACCTTCATAAAATACTTTCTAGAATGTTATACATATTGTTTCAAAGAAAAACTAATGAAGCCGAAGGATGGAGGTGCAAAGAAATGGAACAAGTGTTGCAAGAAAATAGAACTAGTGTAAGAAGGGTGATTGTGAAGGGTGATTTTTGAAAAATATAAGTTAAAAATTTAAGTGTATTTGAGAAATAAATAATGAAAAAATATATTTAATAAATAAAGGTGATTTAACCCAAGTCTTTTAGACAATACACCTCCCGTACATGATACAAATCAAACCCGGTCTACACTCTCCTTTTGGAAAATTCCTACACCTAAAAATAAAATTCAACAATTTCGTAAAACAAAAAGTCATCTATATATCAAACTTGACTAGAGAGCCATGAACTTTGAAGCCTAGAGGCAAATAGAGTCAAAGGCTATCCTAGAGGAGTTACGATCCTATGTACGAAAAAAGAAAAAACGTGGCTATTAAGATAATTCCCATTTATGAATTGGCTTGGATTTCTTCTAGAAGAGTGTTGGAACATGTCCCTATTGCCATTGGACTAACTAGTTGCTATCCTCTAGGAGAACATGACATATTTGAGGCAAATCCTTCTCCTAGTAATGACTATTGACTAGTTCCATATGTTAGAAGGCCATGGCTTAGAAAGATTGCCCCATCAATGTCGCAAAAAGTATCAAACAAGGCACACCCTTTTGATTTCACTATTATTTGAGTTGCTTGGAGATGCCCTTGTCTTGTGTTGGCTCCAACAATTGCACAAATTCAAGAACCGTTGCCTCTTGTTGCTACAAGATCGATGGACATGAAGGACCCTTTTGATGTCTCTTCTTCTTACATGCTTCTTGAGGCAAGTGGTGATTCTGAAGCTGATTGTTATAACCCCACTATGGGTGAACATGGTTATGAAATTGGTAGAGCAGATGATGATGCTCAATCTTGCAGCTATGATAATTCTGAGACTTGTAATGCTGCTGAACTTCATGGAAATGAGTCTTGGAAAAATGATGATGATGATGAAGATGAAAAGAAAGATGATGTTCATGAAACTTCATATTGTGATGATGATGATGATGAGATGCAACAACACCAGAAGTCCTGTGTGTCTGATGATTCAGAACAAGAGTTGGTGGATGAGATGGAAAAGAATAGGCAGTTCTGGGAAGCTTGTTTGGCATCTTGATTGTGTTTGTTGGAATTTCTTTTTTCTTTCAATAGTACTCATAAAATCATAGGGTCTTAGCTTCTTCACCAGTATTTATTCTTTTAAAGAAACATGGGGGTCTATTGAACCTGTCTAAAAGATAAAAGCTTTCAATTGTATGTATGCCTAAACTGATTCGTTCACAATTCATTGTGGAACATATATAAACTGCAAAATCATTATAATAGCCTTGTACTTGAATTTTTTGGTAAATTGTTTGGTAATACTTTTTAAATTAATGATCTTTTCATATTATATCATTCATCAATCTTGTTGCAGAATTGGTTGATTCAGTTATCTTTTGAAATTAAGATGATCATTATCACTGTATCAATCTAGATTTTCTGACTTTTAGATGGGAAGCACAGCACAGAGGTGCAGCAGGCTTGATGGGCAGGAAAGTAATTGGCTTTAGTTTAGACCCACCAATTGAAAATTCTACCGTTTTGATGAATTTCTGATTTTTTTTAGTGGATAATTATTGCAATATTAACATGTGATCTTTAGAATAATTGGAAATCAATTACGGTTCAACTCAGTTAATATTCTATCATTACCAGGTATGATGGAGCATTCAAATCTCACACATTATCAAATAGCATTATTGTGTTAATATTTAAAAAATGTATTTTGTTTGGTCGAGTTGGTGGAACTTCATGAATTGGGTTAGTGAATAATAATTGGAATATAGCGTGAAAATCAATTGCTGTCCAACTCACAGTTTAGCATTATAATATTATCTTATATGATGGAATTCAAATTTCACACTATCAAATAGCATCGTCTAATGTCTTTAGCAATTTTTTTTTTTAAAAAAAAAAAAGTTGAAGTAACGGGACCTGGATGAATCGTGTTTTTAATGTTTCTCTCAAACTAGAGGACTCTTCACATTGCTTGAGGAGAAAATTTTGGAAAAAATAATTTAAAATTTACAATACATTGAAAATTGATGAAATTTAAAACACTAAAGTATGGTCAAATCTCTTAGGTAAGTTTAATTTTGATTCTATAAATTTAAAAAAAAAATTTAGTATATATAATTTAAAAAAAAAAATATTTTAACCATTTAGAATAAAAATAAATTGAACGTAACATCACATAGATTTAATGTGTTATTTTATTAATAATGACACTAATAAGTAAATTTTGTACAACAAGTTTAGTAATAATAAGTGAGTTTTATATAACAAATTTATTTACAATGTTTTGGTAAATGATTTATTTTTTAAATTGTAAGGATTAAAAGAATTGATTTTAAATTAAAAACAAATTTACCTCATATTTTAAAGATTAAAAAATATTTAAATTTATCTATAATTTGACTCGTGATATTTATATTCATCTTTGATAGAAGGAGGTAAATATTATAAAGGCGTTGGAATTGTAAGTAATACATTAACAATTATATTTTTCATGACAACCACTGTTATATGTAATGAAAACGAATTCTCTCCCACCAATTCCTATCTAGGAGACAAGAATAAAGAGAGAATAGGTGAGAGAAATAGAGAGAGGACACCAAAAAAGACTTGATCCCTCCTATATATAAAGAAAATCTTGTGTACAATTATAATATCTTAATCCAAGTTTAAGAGAAAAAAGTTTGCTGTCAGCAAATATTTGAGTTTGTTTAGATATTAATTATAAATGTTTTTAAGAATTTCTCTATAAAAATAAAGAATATTTTTTGACAAATAAATTCTTAAAAGTGTTTATAAATTTATATCTAAACAGATGATATCGTTTTTGTAACTCAAGTTTGATACTTAACTTCATAGGTTGGTACACAAATTGGAGTAGGTTATCGAACTTGTAATCTTTGATTGGATATATTCATTGAGTTGAGACATTTTCGTGAGTTTGAGCAACAGATGTTCAAGTTACATAATTTCTCGCGTCTAATTTCTTTGTAACACTTTTGTTGTATATTTCCATATTTGATGTTATCCCACGAGAATTGAGGGTGATGATATATAGGATTCTATTATTGTGAAAGGAATTCAACATTTAGCTACCAGTAATGTAATCTGGATCCATTACCACCAAATTTTGACCATGCACAGATACAAACAAAGCAAGCACCATTTCATGTTAAACCAATCTCCCTATTCCCTAAGAATTCATCAATGCATACAAAGTCCACCTATGTGAAATTTGAAAATACACGTAGCTACTCCTGAGATACCCATCCCATCATCTACCATATTTAGAAATTAGAATTGTCCAGTACTGGAACATACAGAATCAGGTCAAATTCAGCCCTAAACTGAACATAACCTCTGCCCACAATCTACAACAAACAAACACTTCCTACACCGTGTACTAATTAATTTACACAAGCAACCCTGCTTGTAGGGACAAAATCTAAAACAAGGTACTTAAAAACTGCTTAGAATACACTCAGTTATTAACTAGATGCAAACAATGGAACTAGAGAAACAGAATCTGTAAATTTATCAACCATCTCCACATCATTGGTGCTAGCACTTTCTATTGATGGACTACTTGTGTCAGCATTTGATTCCTCAGCAGTCAGAGTTGTTCTTGAGTCATCTTCATAAGAGGGACTAGAGCAAGAATTCACAGTTTTGATATCAGTAAATGATAAAGCAGATTCCAAGTTATAGTCAGAGCAACTCTTGGGGCTCTCTAACTTCTCTTGCAAACACCCTGCAGGTTCTTCTGAGAATCTTTTTGTTTTCTCATCCAAACGCTTCAAGAAGCATTCCACTATCTCACTTACTGATGCATTAGCCTCCCCTTCCTCTTCACTGACATGACTGTAGCTAACATCATCATCATCATCTGACTTGGTCCCTCTCAATTCATCACTGGTATCCATTTCTTGCTGACTACCATAGTCATCCTCAGATTGGCTTTCAGATGAACGAGATGACATGGGAGAATATCCTGCTGCTGCTGTTTCTTCACGTTCTCTAAGTGTCTTCAGTATTAGGGTCTTCAGTAAATTCATCACTTGGACAGCATGCATGAGAGCAGTTAGTGGATCAGACATCTGGAGACAATAAGAAAAAATGAGAATTAGGAATACTAGATTTCCTGTTTGCATAGTTATCATCATGTGTATGCATGCTAGTGGTAACAAACAACATAGTATTAAGTATGCCTTATGTAAAAGAAGATAAATTGAATTAAAATATGGAAAATGCTAGGGCACTGATTAAGGAACCAAAAATAGAAAGTTTGTATTCAAAATTGTATATGCACATTTTCCTGTGTAACTTAATTTAAATTTTCAATGAAAAATTTCTACATATTAATTTCTTAACCAATGCCCTTAGAACATTGGTTAGCAAGACCCTTAAAAAATAAGCACATTAAGTATATACATGATGACATGAATAACAATTATAGAAATTAATGGTTTAGAGTATAAGCATAAAAGGTGTAAGGAAACGTACCTGAGTCATATTTGGAGCAAAAACCATTGCAATGTTTCTTGCATCCATTTTGTTATGATCCTCTTCTTCTACAACATCAGCCATAAGATCAATAGCCCAGTTGAGCAAGGCTGATTCAGTTGGCTTTAGTTGCTTCACAAGCTGGACAGATTCTTCTTCTGTATTGCACTCAAGAACTTGCTCGGGGGAAAGTCCGTCTAGCACTCCTGAAGGAAGTTCTCTGAACCATGCCTTGATTAGGCCAGCCAAACAATGGACATCAATGTCATCTGGCACAATGCCACTATTCAACTGCTCCCTCAAATGCTCTTCTTGACTGTTTTCTGGATTTATGCGAAATATCCCTTCAGCCTGAAAATTCATTCACACGAGAAAACAAAAATGATAGTCAATGAGTCATTCTCACAAGGTCGTAGGTGATACAAATGACGAAGTAAATCATAAATTTGTTATCTACCTTTAAGCCTCCCTGTGAGTATAATCGCTCCTGCATTAGCAATAGAATAGTGGGGACACTGTTCCCTTTTGAATCATAGGAACACTGCATTGATTCTGCTGAGACGCCAAACACACTAACACTGCAATATTGACGATGCAAATCGCATCAGAATAAGAATAAGGACATTAGATATTAGATATATCATACAGCTCGATGATGTTTAGGAAAGAAAATAAAAGTCGGGAAAAATAATAAGACATGATTTAATATTTTTGTAAAAAATTAATTGCAACAAAAAATGGCTTATAAGAAACCGTAGATGCAGATAGAATAAGTACATAGTTCGATGAATTTATACTAGGCATTCCAATTCATGCTTTATTTAGAAAGACACTCAATCCTATTTCTAAGTTCATTCTGTGGCTAACAAAGCATATAATCGACATGCACCCCAAACCAAAAAACACTCACAAGCTTCCGCACTTTGCAATTGTGTAAATCAAAGAAACTTTAAACTAGGTCGCACCACATAGCTTGCTTGCATTTTATGAAGTATTACTGTACACGCAAAAGCTTAAGATTTAAATGGTGTCTTAGAAAAAAGTAATTTTTTCTCCGATAGGGTTTCAACTTTATTTACCAAAGAAAAAACACAATTTAATTACCACTACATTAGACCAACCAATAATAAAAATTATATAAATACTAATAGTAAGTAACATTTTTTTTAGGCTAAGGGTGGCTTATGCAAATTATATAAATTCTAACGGTAACTCTTTTTTTAGGCTTAGGGTGGCTTATGCTTACAGCAGCCTTGTCTAAAAAAAGGACAACTTTTAAATCTCACATTACCGTTAGGTATTTTAGCAGCAAATAAAGGCAAACCTTAATTCGCTTTTTAATGCAACTAAAAGGCAACCTTAATTCGCTTTTGAATGCAACAATCTAACTTTTTAGTTCTGCATCCCCTTGTTTGACTTTTATTCCACGCAACGGAAGAAGAACCTCATCGAAGGATAATGCACATTCCTCCATCAGCATTCAACACACAGTAACAGTAGAGAACCTTAAAGTTTCCTTCTCTCACACAGATAGAAAAACAGAAACAGACCCACCAACAATAAAATCTCGAAACACAAAAAAAGAAGCCAAAAAACTAAACTTTGAACACTCCAAGCAAACCCCATTTGGATTACCTAGCACTAGGAACCGGAGCGGGGACATGAACTTCTAACTCAAGGGGGAGACCGAGGAAGCCATTGAAGCGATCGAAGGTGACATGACTGACATGCTTAACGTTTGTGGGCCATCCGATCTCCATGGGATGATGAACGGCGGAGATTACATCGTCGGGACTGTCGACGCTGCAGGCCACCATGGATTTCCTGAGCGCCGCCAGAAGAAGCGCCACGGGCGACGCCGGGTTCTGGTCCTCCTCGGCGCATCGGCGGCCCTTGGTGAGCAACACTTGGCCCGTCATTCTTATCTTGACGAGTGCACGAGTGGAGACAGAGAAAGAGAGAGAAAGGTTTTAAATTTGAGGATGCGAGTTTTTTTGTGTTGCATTCATGTTATGTAGCTTTGAACCTCAACGGCCACTCGTTTTTCAAATTTTGTTTGAGTTGGAGACCCTAACTTTATCTTCACTGTTATGTCTTTTCTGTCCTTCCTCTCTCTACGCAATTAACACCACTTGCCACTTGCCACACCACATTAACTTCTTCTTTTTCTTTAATTAATTCTTACACTGCCTTGTTAGCTCCGTTTTTTTTTATTTATAAATGTTTAATTATATATTAATTGCTTCTTTAACTTCACTTCAAAACTTTAATTAAAATTATAAAAAAAGTTAAAAGACTACTACTAATATATTATATATTTTTTTATTATATAGCATTTTTCATGTTATATAATATATGTGTGTGTGTGAATTGTTTGCAAAATCTTAACATTTTAGAATATTGAAAATAGTATTTATTTCTTATAGAAAGAATCATAGGCTAACCGTTAGCATAAGCGCATGATAAAGGAAAAGAATTCGTTCGCCATAAAGTTATTATTGTGAAAAAGTGATCTCATTCTAGTTCGAGAGTCGGCTAAAACGATACATTCAACAATGTGAAAAATAAAAGCATCGAATTCGGCATGTGTACAACTATTTACCATGCGTTCAATAAATCAGTAAACTCACTTTTGTTAAATGCAAGTCCCTAATGGTGATTTGATACCCATCAAAATCATGAAATTTTACGATTTATGAACATCATTAAGCTGGTGTACTTTACTTGGATGAGTAATGTGGTTGGCGCAAGGACAAATTAACAAATTCCAATGAACCAAAGAAAGACATTCCGTCCTTGGCAATGGAATTCGAATTTTATGGAAGACCGTTGCAAAAGAATGCGATCGTTCTTTTATGAACACTTTCTTTGTTATGTATGAGTTATTGCTTCATCTTAGTTTCGGAGACAACTTTTGCATGTCCAACTAGTATGAATCTTTTTTCCAGATTCTAAATGCTTTATGAGAAATGAGATGAGATGCCCTAGTAAACGTTTATGTTTATGTTTACGTTACAACCTTTGCACCACCCAAGGAAATAACAAAAACATTTGCTTATTTTATTTTATTTTATTTATTTGTTATTTCTGGTAGTAGTACACTAGTACTCATAATTGAGAGTCCCAGCAGAGTGTGAAGATAGAAGAAGTGTGTGGGTCCAAAACAAGTGTGAAAAAAGGAACACAAATACCCCATTGTTGGGTAATTGTGGGTCAGATAGATTAACATGGGATTGGGATGAGACACTTGGAGACTAACATGGGAGGGCCATTTAGATTCAATGCAATCTACGGAAATATGGTAGTATTTTTGAGGAATTTAACTCATCTATGATAAATAAATAGATAAAACAAAAATATGGTTTCTGAAAACATTAGAGATGTGTTGTGTTGAAATTTACCATTCAGTTTATACCTACAAATATTTGACGTACATTCAGTTTATCATCATTTTTTTAATCAACGATTATTATGAATAAAGTGTAAATTTTTTATTTTTATAAGAGTTAAATCTAGTAACAAGTTGTACTTTTTATAGTTATTTTACAATTCCTCTTAATTGTTATTTGCTTCTCATTCCTTCGGAATTATAAGATTATGAAAGCAACTGACATAGTGACACAAATACATACATAAATCATTCAGGCGAGTGTTTGTAATTTGAGTTGAATTTATATAATAATTAAGTTTTGGTTTTGTGTGAATTTGGTCAAAGGTCTCGTATACAGAGAAGATTGTTGATGTTTATAGGGCCAAGGGAGAGGCTCCTCTTGTTACTTAAAGGGGCCCCTGGACCCTGTCCCTTCATATTTTTTGTTTTGCGTGTACTTTGTTTTTTTTTTTTTTAATGAAAAAAAAATAATGAAAACTCCTCAAACATATGTTTTTTTGTTTGATAAAATTTTGTTTTTTCCTTGATGAAAGCAGTTTGATCCTTGAAGAGGCAAAACCAGTAAGTGTAGTTTTGAAGTAAGACACATAATGGAATAATAGTGTTGCACGTCTTTTGTGATATGATTACGCTCTTGTTTCAGATATGTGATTAGGTTTTATTTATTTTTAGGAGTTTCAACACGCGGCTTTCACTTTAGAGACGCAACCAATGGCCCCAACTGCATTCAGAACCAATAAATTAAGAGCGTCCTCCACAAAATTAACTATTTCATATTTGTATATTAAGTCAACCTTTTTACTTTATTATTCTATACTTTCTAAATTACAAGGCTATTTTAATGATTTATTAGTTTCCAACATTTTTTTTATACTTTTATCTTCACCATTTTAATAATTTTTGCATATACTATCTTTTAAAAAATAAATATTTAAAGTTAATAAAGAAACCTGAAACTATAATTACTAAAAATATATTTTTTATAAAATTAAAAAATATATATAAAATAACATATGCCATTTTATATTTATCAATTTTTCAAAAAATATTTTTATTAAATATTTTTAATTCAATAACTATAAGATTTTGAATAGGAGTTTATAAGCTTTAAACTAACTCATGAGCCATCACTTAAAAAACATATAAGTTGTTGGCTGAAGTAGAACACTTGTAAATTAATTTATTGAATCAAAAGTATGTACTTGTAAATATAGTATTTTTGGTTTTATATATTGAGAACCAAAACAACTAACAATGGATATATTGTAAGAATAAAAAAAAGAAAAAAGAAAAAATACAAAGACTAAAAGCAAAAAACTACTTATAGGGACATAAAATATCTTTCAATCTTCTTAAAATTAGTTATTCAATTACTGATAAATATAAAATGACTTACTATAATATATTTATACAAATTTTATACAGATTTTATTTTTGTTTCATAGAGAAAAAAAAATATTTTAAGGCATATATAGTTTTATATTCTTTATAAATTAAATTTTAAATTCTTATTTTTCAAAAAAAATCAAATAATTTATTATAATTTTAAATAAATAATATAAATTGTTTATTTAAAATTGTAATAAAAAAATCAAATAAGTTTAACTAAAGTAAACTAACCTGTTTTCAACCAATAAATCAAAGTAATTTCTTCTTACCCAAAAAAAAAAAAAAATAAGAAATCCTCGAAATCAGATTCTCTACCAGCAATATTTTACAGCACAAATTTTAGCTATTGATTACATTCTCTATGTTCTTTGACTACTTTTACAAGAACCAAGTAATGGTACGGATTTTGCAGAATTGTGGCTCCAGAGATGTTTAATTGCAGAGGATCATTGGAAATTCATTTCTGTTTTGTGTTGTTGATTAGAGTTAACTGTGGGTAATTCAACCAAAAAAAAAAAACTTCACATAGTAGTGATGGCACTAATATTATTTTTTTCACTTTTATTTATTATATAGATATAAAATAAAAAATTAGATAGGGAGCAAACCCATTTGATTGTTATGGGAAATTAGAATAATAAATAGCGATCTTAATTTCAGGATAAATTGTTATTAAATATCAATAACAAATTAAAAATACATAAAAAATATTTTAAAAAATATATATTTATCTTTTGATGTCCACTTTCTTAAGAGTTTATACCCCTTTATCATATTTCAAAAAAATTCCACTGATGTGTCTCTTAAAAATAAAATAAGAAAAAAAAATTGTATACACAAAAAGTTAATTGCCTCCTCTATTAATATTAACTGTTTAATTATTTTATTTTTATTTGGTAATAGAGACACAACTTGTCTTTTTTTTTTTTTTTCCCTTTTTCATTTAGAGATATATAATGTCAAGTCCTCTTCAAATAGGAATTGAGATGGGACTAAGTCTAACAGAATAAATAGTTTCTCAGTGAACCAAGGTTTAAATTCTCTCATTCAAAGATATGCATATTTAATTAAGTCTTGACTGTAATTTTATCTCTAAAAGACAATAAATATGAGAAGAAAAGAAATCTCTATTACTATACTATTTAGGAAGCGCTCATGTGCCTTCTACTCCAACTTGGATTTTAATTTTTTAAGACTTAATACTTTTATTTTTGTTTCTACAAATGTGTTGTTTCTAAAATAATTGTGTTGAATCCAGGTTGGATTTTAATTTTAGGATATAAATACTTTAAAAGAAATGAGATAGACGGCGGATCCCACCTATATTGTTGGATGCTAAAGCCTTAAGGACTAATCTCATCATAATTTTTGGCCTTCTTTGCTAATATGGAAGAACAAGCTTTCTCCAAATCTCAACCTAATTTGTTTCTTCATTTACAAAAAAAACGACGAGAGTTTTGTAGCTGTTGAGATTTGTTCAATGAATGGGAATTGTGTGATTCTAGCATTATCTCTTTCGAACCAAAACATCCACACAAATCCAGAAAGCAAGTATAGGAAAGGATAAAAAATAATAGGTTTTAAGAAAATTAGTACTTTAATCTTTAGTTTTTTGTTCTAGTTTGATAATCTAACTTTTCTTTTGTTATATCTTAGTTGTTTTAATTTAGTCTGTTTTATCAAATTATTAGTTTTGCTGACATCACAATTGACAAAAAAAAATGTCAAAGTTTTTGGTAGTAAAAAATTGCCACAATTAATAAAAATGACCTAATTAAAAAACATAAAGAAATAAAAAATGCCAAAATAAAATTTTAAAAAGAGTTAGAAGAACAAATCTAAATAAACAAAATAAAGTTAAAGAATCAAATTATTAATTTTATTTAAATCTTAACATACCCATAATCATATTAAATAATAAAATATAATGTTACATATTTGTGGAATAAATCAATTGGCACTAAATACCAAAATTTATAAATTATGTTTTTTTATTAAAAAAAATGAATTTTATCTATCTACCTGTCTAATTATTAAATTTAAAAGTTCTTAAAAAAACACAACAACTTTATAAAATTTTACAACAATCTAAATTTTAATTGACATTTCATTCCTTTACTTAATTTTAACATATGCATACAGTTTTCAAATATATATGTATATATATGTATATATAACTATTTATTATTAGATTACATGAATGTAAATTCTTTAAATTTTGACATATATGATGATTAATATAATATTACATTAAAAATAAAACGTGGTATTAATATAAATTCACATATATAATATAACAGATAAAATCAATTAATCTTATCTCATTCTGATTAAAAAAATTGTATCTATATATTTTTCCTATGCCTCCCATGATCCGTGCTAATGTTCCTAATTGAAGTCTTAAGCAACCATGTGCCGTTAGGACTTAGGAGTAGTATATAGACGACAAACTTGTGAACAAATAGAATGTTTGCGATGCCTTTGACAAATTGACATACATAAGATTGACTTGGTTGCTGAATGTTTCTAAATCCTTTGCACTGGCTTTCAATATGTTAATCGTTGACATTCGATCACGATAACAACCACAACAATTCATACAACTACCTAACCTATATACATATCTGCAAACATTGAATTTGTTTTTGTTTTGACGATATAACATGGGGCTCTAACATATGTTTTTCCCTCAAAAACACAAACTATGTATTTAATTGCAGGCACATTTTTTTAGCCGGGTTTAAATGATGAACACGAAACCTCTATACCATTGTCAATAACCTTCTAATCATACGCAATTTTAGCCTAATAGTAACTTTTATTTGTCCAATTAAATATAGTAATTTGCAATTTTCATGACTACATTTGCCTATTTGATATGAAGTTATGTACGTATATTCTGGTATAAGCTGTATATACATCCCACTAAACAAAAAATAGTTCTACATGCATCACATAAATTGCCTAGTAAGGTGAAATTTCTATATTCTTCATAATAATGACTGAGAGTTATCTTAAAATGTGCAGGAAATATGAATGTACACATCTCAGAGTAAAATTAATCGTCTGGTATACAATATATGCTCGAGGAGAGTAACCAATAATTTCTTACGTTTTGAAGATTCAACATGTGCATCTTTATTTCTCTCAAAACTCTAAGGGACACTATAATGTACATTGAACTAGTAAAACTACACAGATTCATAAACAACTCGCTGGTAGAGAACTAGAAAAAAGAAAGTTTAAAAAAGGGTTGACCCGCGAAGCTTATGACAGTGAAGAACATCCGTGCTGAGTGCTGGCACATTCTAACCACTGTAGAATTCAACTCTTATAACACAGACTCACCGAAAATAAAAACTCTTTTCAACACAAACTGACTTTATTATAGAGTGCCATTACCAATTAAGAGAAGTGTTTCTAAAATTTAATTATATATTCTATTTCTAGAAAATATCCACTTAAACCAATAGTAGGTAGCGAGATTATCTTAATCCAACTAGATACATACATGCATGCAATGATTGAAGTTGCAATTAAATATAATATGGTTGAACCTGGTATGAGGGCACAGGTTCCCTCTCAAATTAATCTTTCCCACACAATTTTTAGCATTATAGTATGTTATGCTTAACTGGATTTTGATAAATTAAAATGTCAAGGAATGCCTATAAAAGAGAGCAAATGTGTTGATGTTAAGCATCACATTCACTAGTTAAGAACACAGAAGTGAGCAAAGGATTTAAAGATGAATACAAGAGTTTTTGTTGTGGCTTGTTTGGCAGTGTTCTGTATCCTAGAGGTTTGTCAAGGAGGAGACCTCAGAAAGAAATTTTACAGGAAATCATGTCCTGATGCCGAGGAGATTGTAAGGACCAAAATCCAGACACATGTCTCTGCAAGGCCCGATTTGCCTGCCAAGTTGATTAGAATGCATTTTCATGACTGTTTTGTCAGGGTAAACATTCCTAGCTCTTTATGATCAACATTTACACCCTATGTTTGTCATTTCCTTGCAACGTGTTTTGGAGCTACGTACATAAATCATAATAACTGGAACAACATTTCAGGGTTGTGATGGCTCGGTTTTGCTGGACTCCACTGCCACCAACACTGCAGAGAAGGATGCCATACCCAATTTATCTTTGTCTGGCTTTGATGTCATAGATGACATTAAAGACGCATTGGAGACAAAATGCCCTGGAATTGTATCTTGTGCTGACACACTAGCATTGGCAGCTAGGGACGCTGTTTCTGTCAAAGTAATTAAGTTAATCATTACATGATTCTACGCTTGCAGATTATAAAAACAAATTTACTTCACAATCATATATAAATGCTACAGAATTTGCATGGTTTACGTATATTTTACTCAATGCATGTTGCTGATTCATAATATTTGCAGTTTAATCAGCCTACGTGGGAAGTGCTCACCGGTAGAAGAGATGGCACAGTATCCCTAAGTAGTGAAGCCCTAGCCAATCTGCCAGCACCTTTCTTCAACTTCACTCAGCTCAAACAAAGCTTTGCTAATAAAAAGCTTACTGTGCACGACCTGGTTGTGCTATCAGGTACATTTTATTTTTTATAAGTTCGTGCTAAACATATATGATAAACACTAAGAACATAACTTAGATGGAGTTCCTACTTCTAAAACTATTTTCACATCAGAATTGGAGTTTCAATTCATATAATAAGGGTTTACATCAGATGTCAACAAATAATACTAGATAAAATTTCAATTTAATAAAAAAATAATACTAAAAACACTTTAAGGAACTTTTGTTCAAAAGCTAATTGCAATGAAGGGGGCATCCAATTGAAACAACTAAACTAACCTCTTTGCAATGTATGTGTATATATAGGAGCACACACAATTGGGATAGGTCATTGCAACTTGTTCAGTAACAGACTTTTCAACTTCACTGGAAAAGGTGATCAAGATCCTTCTTTGGATCCCACTTATGCCAACTTTTTGAAGACAAAATGTCAGGGTCTGAGTGACACCACCACAACAGTAGAGATGGATCCAAACAGCTCAAACACCTTTGACAGTGACTATTACTCTATCCTTCTCCAGAACAAGGGTCTGTTCCAATCAGATGCAGCCCTTTTAACAACTAAGATTTCAAGAAACATTGTCAACGAATTGGTCAAACAAAACAAGTTCTTCACAGAGTTTGGGCAGTCAATGAAGAGAATGGGAGCCATTGAGGTCCTCACAGGTTCGGCTGGGGAAATTAGGAAGAAGTGCTCTGTTGTCAACTCTTAATTAAGACTTGTTTACTTGTTTTAATTTCCTATGTTTCTATTTCTACATTTTTTTTTGTCACAATTTAATGCGGGTTGGCAAGCCGTTAAATTCAAAATTTCTTTTGTTATATGCCTTCAAATTGGAGTGAGAAATTTTAAGAAAAAATAAAGTGATGTACTAATCTGTTGTTGCTTACAAATCATTATTAGTAAGTTGTTGATTTTTATAATAAAAATAATAATTTTTTTATTAATTGTGATGTGATATCTTTTTCTTTTGGTAAAGTTCTATAATTTTTTTTGGTAAAGATTGTGATGTGATATCTTATTAGTCGAGATTACATAACTATTAAATTCTTTACTTACTTTTACTTCAAATATGTTGTAAGTATTTTTTTTTTTTTTTGTGAGAATAGAGAAAATAGTTGTAACTATTTACTTATGCTATATTAGTTAATATAAAATCTCTAAAATCCTTTCGAGTTGAGTTTGAGTGTGTATTGAACAAACTATGCATGATTTAATGTAGGATACAAGTCCAACAATAATCACCACAGCTAGCTATCAAAAACGGGTCGGGACATTGATCTAAAAAAAATTGAAATTAAGATAAATCTTTTTTCACATTAATTATCTGGAAGAAAAAAAAAAGAGAGACAAATTTGAATTGGTTAAACAAACTCTTTTAATTTTATTTTGTTTATACTCTAAAATAAATATGATTCCATACATCACTTTGGATCAATATTTATTTTCACATTAATCAAATATAAAAAGTATAATTAAAAAAAAATTCTATAAAAATATGCAAAGTGATTTTAGAAATATTAAAATAACTAAAAAATATTTTAACAATGTTTAAAAAACATTTTAAGAAAATATTTTGAATGTTAAGCATTTTTTTTAAAAGAACTACAACATAGTGCAAAATTTATTTAGAAAATATATATTTTTCTAAATGACAACTAACAAAGATTAATGGTAACAATACTTTTCAAAAAAAAAAAAATTCATCGGTCACCCAATTATATAAAAATTGAAATTAAGATAAGTAAATCCAGAAAGATCAATCTAATTCTAAATATATTGTTATATTTATTGCTTTGCTAAAAAAAATAATGGTAACCAAGTATATTTATCACTCAAATATATTAAAGTTGAAATTGAAATAAAGTTAAACAAATCTAAAAAATCAAATTAGAATCACTAAGATTGGCTAAGTTGGGATAATATACATAAAATCATGTATTTAAACTTTAATATTGTCATTATAATTTCAATTGATTAAAAAAAATTAAATCAAATTTATTTATTTTATATTTATTAAAAGTAAATTTAAAATTGACGATGAATGAAATAATATAATAAATATGTTTATTATAATAAAAAAAACTACTCAAATTACTTATTTAATTATTTTTCAATTTTTTAATTCTTAAAAAATTGAGAAATACAAATTTGTTTTTATAAAGATAATATCTTTTTAAAATGATAGAGTAAATGTTTTTTGACATGTATGGACAATTTTTTTTCTTTCAAAAACACATATAGAAATATAAAATGAGAAGAATATATGAAATTATTTTTTTTTCATCAATGAAAATTAGTATATGTATAAGTTAATTTGTAAAATATAATATTTTTTGTTATAATTGTAGAAGATAAAATAATATATGTGTAGAAGATAATATATGTTTGAGGTTGGGGTAATATGCACAAGGTTCTAAATTTGAACCATGGTACTATCATTGTAATTCTAATAGACAATAAATATCAAATCAAATCTATTTATTTTATATTTTTTAAAAGTAAATTCTAAATTGACGATAAATAAAATAATATAATAGATATTTTTATTATAATAAAAAAAAACTACTTACAATTATTTATTTAAATATTTTTAAAATTCTTAAAAAATTGAGAAAGATGAAGTGTTTCTTTTGATAAAGATAATATTTTTTTTTAAAAAGGATAGAGTAAATGTTTTTGGCATGTTTGGACAATTTTGTTTTGCAAAAATACTTATATAAGCATAAAATGAGAAGAATATATGAAATTATTTTTTTCATAAAGTAAAATTAGTATATGTATAAGTTAATTTGTAGAATTTTTTTTTTGTTATAATTGTAAAAAATACTATTTTTGAGTAATTATAATATTGATACTTAATATTTATCATCGAAAATAATGATTAATCTTTATTAGGACTACGAACACATACAAAATAAATATTTTTCTTCGGACATAATCTATCCCATAAGGTGAATAGAAGATAAAGAGAACCTCAACAACATTATTTTTTATTTTTTATACAAAATTATCAATGACTTAAGATAATATTATATTATAATATAAATAAAATACAAGTTATATGGTAAAAAATATTTATTATAAGTTTTAATTATAATATAACTTGTGTATTTTAAAATATTTTTATTATAAATTTTACTTTAATAAAACAAAATTTTATCTTACTTTAATAATACTAGTTATATATTTAAAACTCATTGTTTAGTCCATAATTAGTAAACTCACTTTTAAAATTCATAATAATGAAATTATATGATAATACAGAATGATACTTAAAAAATATATTGAAATTTAATTTAAAAATAAAAGATAAAAAATATTATTAAAATACTTTGAAAAAAAGTTTAACTGAAAAATATCTTCTGAAAATTAATCTTATCTGGTATCAATTATTCTAAACTAGTATTTAAGCGTGTGTTGATTTCTATCCTATTTGTAATCTATATCTATAAAGAGGATAATATTTAAATATTTAAATCGTAAAAAAAAAAAGAAGATAAAAACATAATCGTAAAATAAGAATGGCCCAAGCCCAAGAGGAGGCAAGTCCAGTATATATATAATAATAATAACCTCGTAAGACAAAACGGTGAAATTCCACTCTCCCACTTCCTCAGCCTCAGCCACTGTCACCAATAGTAATGAGCAATAGCAAGCATTCTTCTTCCTAAGCTTCTTTTCGTTCGCCGCAGCGTTTCCTTTTCCTTTTCCTTTTCTACTCCAACAAGCCATTCCCTTTTCTCCTTTCTTCTTCTTCTTATTATTATTATTATTAATAATTATTATAGAAACAAAGAAACAAACCCTGACGCAACGATGATGCTCCGAATCCGAAGCCGCGACGGCCTGGAGCGCGTGAGCATCGAAAACCCTCAGACCGCAACGGTCTCCGACCTGAAGCGGCAAATCGAAACGCAATTGGGAATCCCAATCGAGAAGCAAACCCTCTCCAGCAACCAGAACCTCCTCCTCGCCAAATCCCCCCAAGATCTCCTCCGATTCACCGACCTCTCCAACCCCGCCGGGCCCCTCTCCGCCCTCCCCCTCGCCCACGGCTCCATCCTCTTCCTCGCCTACGACGGCGAGCGCCGCGTCCCCGGCCCCGCCTTCAACCCCGCCGGCTCCTTCGGCCGCAAGATGACCATGGACGACCTCATCGCCAAGCAGATGCGCGTCACGCGCCAGGAGAATCCCCACTGCCAACTCGTCTCCTTCGACCGCGACTGCGCCAACGCCTTCCAGCACTACGTCAACGACACCCTCGCCTTCGCCGTCAAGCGCGGCGGCTTCATGTACGGCACCGTCTCCGACGACGGCAAGGTCGAGGTCGACTTCATCTACGAGCCTCCCCAGCAGGGCTCCGAGGACCTCCTCCTCCTCCTCCGAAACCCCGACGAGGAGAAGCTCGTCGATGCTATTGCCGTCGGCTTGGGGATGCGAAAAGTTGGCTTCATTTTCACGCAGACCATTAGCCAGGATAAGAAAGACTATACTTTGTCCAATAGAGAGGTGCTTCAGGCTGCCGAGTATCATGCTGAGAGTGGCTTGAAGGAGTGGGTTACTGCGGTGGTTAAGCTTGAGGTCAATGAGGACATGGTCGCCGATGTGCATTTTGAAGCGTTTCAGATGAGTGATGTGTGTGTTAAGTTGTTCAAGGAAGGCTGGTTCGAGACGGAGATAAAGGAGGATCATGATCCCAAGTTGTCAAAGATGAAGAAAGACGTCGTTGTTGGAGTTAAGGATACTAGGGAGGTTGACAATGATTTCTTCTTGGTTGTCGTCAAAATCTTTGATCATCAGGTATGATTTGTTGCTTTTGCTCTTTCTTTTATTTACCCCATGTCTCTTAGCAATTACCATGTTTTGCTGAATTCTGGTGCGCGTTTGTGGTACTTGTGTTCTGCCCCTAGGATGTAATTTAGTTCTGCTGCTTTCACTGAGATTCCCCATTTTAGGATGAGCATTGTTTTAGGATAAGCGTTCTCTCATTGACTGATGTTATGGCCAAAGTAGTATATTTAACTGGGGAGCAACTCTCGCCTTGCTAGCTAGCTTCATCAAGCTGAGTTAGGTCCTATCCCCAGATTCTAAACTTGGTTGCTTTCTACTTATATAGACTGTGTTGATCATATCAGGAGTTGATGTGGCATCTCCAAAATGTATCAAAAGAGTGTTTTTGATGAACTTTTGTTTTAGGATAAGCATCAAAATAGTTTGTTTGGCGAGTGGTATGAGGTTTTATCTTCTAAATTGATCATCGTTGTGCTTTCGTTATGATCATTGATATTTTGGAAATATGCGAACAAGTGCAGTTGATGCTATTGCTACCACAATTGGGGTTGCGGAAACCCCAAAACCTTGATGTTCCCGACTGTAATTGCGGTTGTGGACCATTTTTTAAAACTGATAATTTTTTTGAGGTTGACGTTTGAAAGGGGAATGAATGGAAAGGGAATATTGTAATAATTCTCCCATGTTTGCTGACTTGAGCATTTACGGGGATGGGCACCGTTTTAATCCCCTCCCGATTGGGTGATGAGCCTTGCTTTTCTTTTAAATAATCTTTATTGTTTTAGTTGCTTCAATAAGTTAAACTTTATGCCCGCTACCTCCTCTTTTCTTCCCCTATTATTGTTCAAAACATGGAATGGACAATCCTTTCCATTTCATCCAGTCTCGTTCCCTTCCTAAAACTTCCATAGATAGCATACTTGTGTTTGTGGGTTGCGTGATTGTCTCTTGCCAATTACTGTGTGGTGTCTGTCTGTATCCACCTCTTTCTCAACCATATTCAATGAAGCCCTAATGAAAATGAAGGTAAATACTACATGGACACATTTTCAAATATGTTCCAAGCTTATCCATGTCAGACATGTCTGACACTGGTAAGGCTGCCTTCCAGCCATTTTGGTGCTAAGGGTAAAGCAAGATCTGAGTGAGCTAAAATTAGCTGTTTGGATAATTGTATATAAGCAATTTAAAAAAGTTTCAAAGAACATTGAAGGGTTTTTTGATTTGCAAAATTGTATCATGCACCTGACTTTTATATAGATTCACTGTGCGTCTAATTTAATTTTGTTAATGATGAGGTAAATAGCTTTACACACATCACATAGTCCCTTCCCTTGACATGTCTAGTTAATTAGGTGTATATTGGGCATCTTTTTGCTTTAATAAACCAACATATTCTTATTCGTTATTTGTGTCTACAACACTTCTTATTATATACTGCAGTCATATTATGATGATAAGGTGTAAATTAATTATTAACACGTGCTTTTGTAGTTCCTTGTGGAGCATGGGGTAACCTTCAAATTCTTAAGTTAGACAATTGGATGTTTATTTTTGCAAATTCATGTTGAGACTTGAGACTAATATTGGGTACAAAAAAGTTCCTTGAGTTGCTAATGATGGTCATAAGCTTACAAGCAGTCTAACTAATATAATAGTTAGATTGATTGTAAGTTTTGAATTTCTGGCCATAAAAGAAGAGAATAGATGTATCAGCACAAGTTAATTCCCATCTTTTTGAGGATGCGCCTCATTAGATTGATAATTGGTTTCAGTTGATAGTACAATACTACAATCAGAGAACACCGAGTCAAAGTGGTTTTCTTCTCTTCCGTATATTGAGTATAATAATTTAAGGGGGCATGGTTTCAGTGGGGATTGATAATTTGATATGATCCAATTGTTGGGCTTGCCTACTATTAATTTTTTTTTACTGTTGTGTGTATGGGCTTAGTGTGTTCACATTATGATTACACAGATTTACATAACATAGTAGATTTCAGCTTGTGACAATAATCAATGGATCATCCCTGCAATTTAACTAAAAATTGATGAATAGGGGCTAGTTTAGTGCAAAATAACATTTCTTTATTCAAGCCAAAAGATATTTAAGTCAATGAAGGACTGTTTACCATAATGAGGGTTAGATCTGTTAATGATTTATTTATTGATCTGATATTTTGATGTGGTTGCTCATATTTTTAATCATTGATGATAATAAGATAAGATATTACTTAAAGGCTAAAGCTTTTTCTGCTTGCCATGCATGCAAACCTTAGCAATAAGATTCATCTGTTAGAGCTTGTAAATTATAATGTCATGGAATTTACATTTGTATTGTCACCAAAATGCAGGGTCCACTTACATCAACATTTCCCATTGAGAACCGAAACACTCAAGTAACTATGAAGGCGCTGAAGAATCATCTTGGACGGACAAAAAATCTTCCATTTGTGAAGCGAATTTCTGATTTTCATCTTCTTCTTGTGTTAGCGAGGGTTTTAGACCTGAATGCTGATGTTCCTGCATTGACGGAATGTGTGCAGACACAGACTCCCGTACCGGAAGGTTACCAGATCCTCATTGAGTCTATGGCAAACACTGCTTGATGATGTATGCAGGTTTTCTGGGCTCATTTATAATGGTGACATGAGAATTATGCACTCTACATTCAGGTCCTTTGCCGCAACATGGTGCATATTGCCCCCATAGCACTCACGGAATGTTTGTATGTTGGTAATTTGTACATTGCTTGTTTATAGCATTGCTGCGGAAGATCTTGGATCTATCATTTTACTGAAAAAGAGCAGATGTGGTTCACGTTTTAATGTTTAAATTAATTAGAGATAGCTCCTACCAGTAGTCACTATTTTAAGTGCGACAATGTTACAAATTATAGTATGAAAACAGTGTTTTAAATGCTTGTGTTCAAAGCTCACTGGGGTGGCTTTCCCAGGCACTGGGCGTGTAGCCGAATGTCAAGCTTGGCTATGACACTTTATTAATACTTATTCCTCATAAAGGTGTCAGGGCATGCATTGAAGTCTTGTTCAATTATCAAGTTTAGCATAAGAATTTGAGTTAATCACTTATATATTGCCTTGTCTATTATACTGAAAATGTATAAGTGATTAATTCTAAGAATTTAAGTTTTTATATCCTATGAATGTCAATGTTACCATAAGGTAAGTTATAGTAAGGACGAGGCTGGAATATAACAAGTAAATCAGTTCATCAATTAAAATCCAAGTGTGATAATCGTTATACATGTTTTGTTTTCATTGGAAAGTGGTATATACTAGACAGTGTTTTGGAAAATATTGTTCCCCGACATTCCAGTTTTTTTATAAAAAAAAAGTTGTATGTGTTTTTTAATAATCATGTCATTCATACAAACTATTTACTGTTAAAAGTAATAGTTAATTTTTGTCCGGATTGAATGCACATATTTTTCAATGAATATAGACTATTTCATATTTATGGTCATGATTTCAATCTCGACAACTTGAATAAGAGATATAAATTGTTATCATTTATTTTAATTGATGGTAAAAAAAAGTTGTATGTTTAAAATAATAATTAGAGTTTGTAAAAAACAAAACTGAAAAGTAATTTTATTTATTTTATGTATTTAAAAGTTATGTTTATTTTTTTAAATGAATGACCTATTAGATGATAATGATTATTATCGTTATTTTTATTGTTAAAATTATCATCATATTATTGGTATGAATTTTGTCAATTAATTATAGTTACTTAACTAGATGAATTTTAATAGAGTTTCAATTCCAAATCATGTATTTTTATACCGAAATTTGAACTCAATACTTTGTTTAAGGAGATTAACTTTAGTATCATTTAGATTAACGATTTGTTGGTTATTAAATTATTATTTTATATCGTCATTAATGTAACAATCTGGCTGATCACTACACGCGACACCGCACACTAGAAGCACCGAACAGAAAAGAACAAATGTATATATATAGAGTCTGGAATATACATATATATGATCCAATCTGAACAGGGTTAAAGTGTACAACAAAGTACATCATCAACTGCTACACCAAGTAGCTAAGCAACAAAAGACACAAAACATCCCAAGAGGATCCGCTCCAACTGTCAGCTACAGACCTATCCCTGCTCTGCTCCCATACATAGTATGATCATCACAGTCAAAACATCATGAAAACAACAAAGGGTAAGCTAGTGTAATTAAAAATTGACGTAAAAATATATGGTAGTATGAATAGCAACTATCAGCACACAAGTACAGCTCTTTCTACATTTTAGTAATTCAACAATAACGGCACCGCTCAGCGGCTATAACAGCACCACAATAGTGGCTAACAGCACCGACATAGCAGCTATAACAGCACCACAATAGTGGCTAACAGCACCGACATAGCGGCTATAACAGCACCACAATAGTGGCTAACGGCACCGACATGACGGTTATAACAACACCACAATAGTGGCTATCAACATTCAGCTCAGCAATAAACAACACAGCACAGCAACGCAATCTACAGTACAGCTAAGTAGTACTCGGATCTCGGTCAGAAATAATACTGGAAGGCACCTCGTGCAACCGTACTATCTCCCTCACATACAACTGTGTCAGCTTCTCCAAGGACCACTTGATGTTGACAAGCAAGAAATGCGCACACTTGGTCAACCGGTCAACAATCACCCAGATAACATCACTATTCCTAGCTGACTTAGGCAACCCCACAATAAAATCCATAGTAATGTTATCCCATTTCCACTCGGGAATTTCAATCTGTTGCATCAACCCACTCGACTTATGATGCTCTACCTTCGCCTTCTGATAGGTCAGACAGGCCGCCACATACTCAGCTATCTCCCTCTTCATACCAGACCACCGGAAAGTCTTCTTGAGGTCTTGGTACATCTTAGTCATACCTGGGTGCATGCTAAGTCTGCTCTTGTGACCCTCCTCCAGCACAGCTCTCTTCAGCTTAGCATCCTGAGGTAGGCAAATTCTGCCATTGAACCTCAAGATTCCATCTTCTCCCATCTTAAAGCCTACAGCCTTCTCCGTACCCAGCATTCCAAGAAGCTTCATCAGCTCGGAGTCTTGCAACTGCTTAAGTCCAACCTGCCTCGAGAACTCATTAGTTATGGTAACCATCCCACAGCTAATGTGATCCTGAGCTAACTCCACACAGAGATTCAAATCTCTGAATTCCTCAACCAGCTCCAGCTCCTTCATCATCACACTTGACATGTGGATGGATTTCCTACTCAGTGCATCTGCCACTACATTGGCCTTGCCCGGATGATACATCAACTGAAAGTCATAATCCTTCAGAAACTCCATCCACCGTCTCTGCCTCATGTTCAGCTCATTCTGATCAAACAGATACTTCAGACTCTTATGATCATTGAAGACGCTGAACCGAGCACCATACAAATAATGCTTCCAGATCTTCAAGGCAAACACCACAATAGTGGCTAACGGCACCGATATGGCGGTTATAACAGCACCACAATAGTGGCTATCAACATTTAGCTCAGCAATAAACAACACAACACAGCAACACAATCTACAACACAGCTAAGTAGTACTCAACACAGCCTACTACTCACAAGTCAGCTCATCATTCTAGAGCACAACAATATTGTATAATAAAGCATATAAGATCATCAATAACAGCACAACATCATCCGCCTATTACCACTCAACATCACATTTTTTAGCAATAACAACTAGTTAGCACAACATAAACATCTAATTCAGTTTAGTTCAGTATAAAACAACCACTTTCAGCAAGTTCAGCAAGGTTAAATAACTAATAACTCATCAAGTCAACATCCTCATACGCGCCCGGCGCACTCATAGGTGCGCCCAGCGTGGCACATCCAGAGGCACCAGGGGGCCAGCGCGCCCGACGCAAACATGCTCGCGCCCGACATGCCTCAGTCAGAGAGCTCAAGGCTCTCTCGCGCCTGGCGCAATACTCAATTACGCCCAGCGCAAGCCCAAGCAGAGACTCTCAGGAGTCTCATGCGCCCGACGTAGCCTAACTCACGCCCAGCGTGGGTAAGGCAGAGACCTACCAAGGTCTCGCGCCCGGTGCAATTCGCATTGCGCCCAGCGCCCTCTTGGCAGAGACCCCCAAGGAGCCTCTGCACCTAGCGAATCCAAACGCGCGCCCAGCGCGGAACCAGAAACCCCCAAATCAAACCACCTACTGATAGCGCGCCCGACGTAGTCCAAGCCACGCCCGGTGTGGGCCATCCAGAGGCTCACATTCACAAGCTCGCCCGACGCACACACCTTTGCGCCCGGCGGGCTTGCCCAAATGAAGCCCCCAGGTGGTCACGCGCCTGGCGCGAAGAACTGCGCCCGGCGCGAAGAACCGCGCCCAGCGCGCAGCTCAGCAATAACCCACCAAGTTCGAAAATCTAGTCCAAAACCTGCAAAAACTTCCATTTCCAGCACATGCAGTCTAGCCAAAAGCCATTATTTCCATCAAAGATCAATAAAAATGATACATTTCCCACATGCAACCACAAAACAAGAATTAATCAAGAATTTCTTCAAAAACCCCAAAACCCAAAAACCCTTTTATTTCATCATTCTCAACCACAATCATCAAACTTCAGCAACCAAATAAGTTCCTAGAACTCAATTTCATCCAAAAACGACGAAAAACCTAGCTTCTCTTACCTCGGTACGAAAATCCGAGCTTCGGGACCACGGAGATCGGAGAAGAAGAAACTTGAAAGCGAACGGAGAAAGGAGAAAATCTTCAGCTAGCCCTGCCTAGGCTTGATCAACACCTTCAATTCAAGGTCACCACAAGGAAGGAAATCAGAAGCAAGAAGAAGGAGAAGGTGAGAGTGAATAAAGAGAAAATGAGAGTTAGAGTGAGTGAGGAAATGGAGTCGAGAAGGGAAAAGGAAAAAGGGGTCCTCACAATTAATATGAAGCAAATTTTAATTCTCACATGTTAAATTTCTCTTTTGTTTTTTCCTAATGATAACATGAAAGAAAAATCAGATGTGTTTGTTCATGTATGATGATATAAATAATATTTTGTGAAATTTTTGAATTATAATAAAATTTTTAGTATTAGAGATTAAATTACAAAAAATATCAAAAATAAATAAATAAGGGTCTAATTATAATTTTTTATAGTTTAAAATTATAATTGAAAAAAAAATAGAGATCAAGTCATGTATTAAACAAACCTAATTAAAATGATCGTGTGAGCCCTTTATTCTTCTTCACAAAATTATGCATGTATTGTTGCTTATGAACTACATAATTTTATTTGGTTAAATGAAAGTAGGCTATGTCAAAATAGGTGTGACAATGGAAAAATAGAAATGATGAAAATTGTTTCTATACATACATAGAATTAAATTTGCTAGCATTACACACTATCGAAAGTGTATTTATTTTTAAGATAAAAAGTTTTTTTGCATTTTGTCTATAAAGTTGTCAAAATGACTTATAGTCACGTATTAATGGGTTATTTTAAAATGTAATTAGTGGTTAAGATTACTCTCGAGACTAATTTGAGAGATATTTGTTTAATTCTTTTTGTGATATACCTTCATTCAAATGTCTTGATTTTTTTACATTGTTTTAGTCTAGAACCTATACAAAAATCGCCTGAACAAGTAAAATACCAATATTTATTCATATGATTTGGCTTTGGAGATGTGCAAAAGTTATAAAAAAAAATAAAAAGTATGAAATTTTGGTATTTCAATGATATTGATTGGTGCTTATGTATCATTATTAACAACATCAAAAATTTATAATCCATTTTTTCTATATACAAAACAAAAAGGTAAGAAGAAAAAAGGACTCATTACTTATAACGTTGTTTAGTAATAAAAACAAGAGATTTGTCACTTTAAAAAATGAATAAAAAATAAATGATATAAATGATGTGATAAGTTAAATTACTGAGAAGACATAGTCATTACTTAACGAAAAAATTTTCTAACACTATACAAAACTTTTTTTTAGGTCAATTTTAAAAATTATGCAACCTTTTATTGCATTTATACACATGCCATGAACAATTATGTGTACAATGATATCACTATTCTATTCATCAATTAATTAAAAATTAAGTTATTTATTAATGTAAATTTAAAAGCTAATTAAATAAGTTAACTTAATTTTTATTAAACCAAGCTAAACAAAGTAATTAATTACAATAATACGTATATATATATATA